TTATTTACTATGCAGTTAACATTGATTTGTTAAAAATTTTTCACTTTTTGTTCTCAAAAGAAAGCACAAAAACAATCTGCCAAATTCATAAAAATTATTCATTCATTCTTGCAATTTGAAATTAATTAGAAAAACATTCAATTTATTTCACATAGAATTGAATTAAACAAATCAAAAATTAAATGATTCACGCAGGGCTCTAATGTGTGTAATATCTCGACTTACTTGGGCATGGGAATACGCAGCACCTTTCCTTTGTAGTTGGCCAGCTGATCCTCTTTAAGCAGCGGCGCCAGAAGATCCCCCTCGTAGTCAGAAACCAAATCCAGGTTGTACTTCCCGGGCTGCTGGATCTCATAAGGCGTCAGGGTGAGCACGGCGTCGCCCAGGCAATTAACAGTGACCACTCGTTCGCCCCAAATCCAGCAGTCGTCCACATGCGGATCTATGCTGGCTCCCTTACTGGGTTCGTATTCCAAAGAGCACTGTTCGATGGTCTGGAAGTTGCGCAGCAGCGGCACCTCCTCAAAGCGTCGCTGCACGTACTCCGTGCTGCGGGGGAATCCTGCAAAGGATCCCAGCTGCAGCTTTCGTTTCTTGAAGTTTGTCTTGGGTCCGAAATTCTGTTTACGCCGCCCGCTCTGCGAGATGTCCCAGGGCAGGGCGTCCAGGTCGGTTATCAATTGAGAGCCCTCCTCCGCGCTGAGGAATCCCTCCTGCACCAGGACGCCCGGCAGGGGAAGCCCCTCGTCTTTTTTATGGTCTCCATGGGCATTTTGCACCTTGGTCGTATCCCAACCGGGCTGCAAAAGTTCGCAGTGAACGCAGTAGACCCAGGATTCCAGCTGCTGGAACTGCTCCTGCAGCGAGGGCTTGGCTATCTGGAAGTCCTGCTCGCAGCTCAAACAGGTGCGCACGCCCTTGCAGCCACAAGGACGAATTGTGTTCATCCTGAAGTTGCGAAACACGTTAACAAATTAATAATAACAATATAGATGGGCCAATGTCGATAGATTCACATATCAAGAAAATACTTTAAATACCAAAAACAGAAGCTGTACATTAACAGTTTGGCGGGCTGTTAACCAATTCGAATTATAACAGTAGAGGAAATTGAAACGTTTTCAGATCTTTCAAAATAATTAAATACAAGACAATTGAAGTGAGAAAATAGTGTAGCTATTTGTCAAAAATAACCATACATGATCGCTTATGTATGTTCCCTCAATGTTGCATTCATAATTAATCCTTTTGTTAAATTTAAAGTAAGGTTAAAACTTTAAAATCGTATGGGAAATCAGAGTTTTAACCCTACTTTAAATTTAAACGAGAAAACGGTCCTTAGAATATTTTATTTCTTGTGTTCAGATTTCATTTGCTTTCCTCAAATACTTGGTACATAAACTCTCAAAATTTAAAAAGAGACTTTAGTTCTTAAAAAGTGTTGTAATGGCTATTTACCAAAAATAATGGTAAATGCAATGTTGCATTCATAATCAGAGATTGTTCCTATGAGACATTAGATATGTATTTAAAATGGCAACACACTCACGTACAGAGACACACCGACACTGAAGCACTTAATTGACAAATGCAAAAACAAGGGAACGAAACCATTTATTCGTAGGACAGGATGGAAGCAGAAGGACGACAGAAGGACAGAAGGTTAAGGGGGTATACGTTATGGTCTGATGACCCTTTGTTGTCTGCACTTTCGAGCTTTAATATTTTCCCTTTCTGTTTTCATTTCGGGATCACGTGGACCAACAATATTTTGTTTGATTTCCTTCATTCCAGTTTGCAAACAAAATATGATCCCAATGAAGAAACTTTTGCGAAAGCTTACTTTCAGTCGTATGCAATCCGTTTCGATTACACTCTCACTTTTAATATTATGCCATATTGTTTTTTCATCCTTTGGAACGCTTTCAAAGAGTTGTTTGGGGAGATAGATTGTAAATGGTAACAAACTGACACATAATAATGGATATTAACAAAGGTCTATATATACCTACATATACTCATAGTGAATTGAATTAATTTTTAAAAGACGCATTCACGAACACATTGTGGGGAAGTATGTATGTTCGTTGAACATAATGTTTTTAGAAAATTTATTGTTGAAATATTGTAGCAAATTGAGTAAGCATAAAGACAAACGACCCGAGGGCGAAACAAACCGAGTTATAGTCACCAATTAATTAGTCAAAGTAATAGTAAACGGAAATCGAAAATCAGAGAAACCAAAACCGAACTAGCAAACCAAGATGAACAGGTGTATATATATTTTATGAAACATATATCACCGCATATATACATACACATATATATATGGATATATTTTTAATAAATCGACACGGAAACGAGCAAAACTAAAGACACTAAGCAGAAAGAAGGAGCAAAGCAGCGCAAGAACCGAACCCCACTAAGCCAACCAACCAAACCAACTCAATGCCACTCGAAATCACATGGAAAAAATCACAATTTTGTTGGAAATTTCGCATAGTTTTCGGATGATTTATCCCCTTCACTATCTATGTACTCGTATATCCCTGTGTATTCCTAGAAACGAGCTTCGAATTTTGTCTACTTTACTCTGCTCTCCCCTCACACAAAGCAAAACAGTGATATTTACGGTATAGCCCCCAAAAACTCAAAACGAACTCAAACTCGAACACTCTTTCCGGAACCCACCTAAGAAACCTTGTAAACGTGAATGTTTTCTACACAAAAACCAAAATCAATGAAAAACCTACCTCCTTGTTGAAAGAGAAGAAACGATAATGATTGAAGGACGAAGATGTAAAGCAACACTGCCGAGTTAATCGCACTCCTCTCTCCCCTTGTCGAGTAACCTAACCCAACCCCCCTTTTTTCGTTGTCCTGCCAAAGAGAATTTCTAACAGAATTGTGTGACGAACAAGCAACTTTTGATAGCCAGACGAAAAGTTTACTTAACGAAAATCAGATCGGCCCTATAGCTACACCCGCTGTCAGAAAGTCGGAAGGAACCCAATCGAGTGCTGAATCAACTGAAAGAACTGCAGATCAGATCTAAGCGTTATATGTGTATCTTGTATATTTTATTTGCATTTATATTTATATTTCAATTTTTAAATTTAAATTTTGATTCGATCTTTGATATTTGATATGAGACGACTTTTACTTACGCCCAGAGCGATGCATAATCCTACCGAAAACTGCTCTGTCCCCATGAGGTTGTTGTTTTTCGAACGTTAGTCAAATTCGAGTGCGAATTCCAGTTCAAAATCCGTTTCAAAACGAAATTGAGATCTTGAGTTTAAGTATGAGTATTAAGTATGAGAAAATCCGCATCAGAAACAGAATGCTTGAAAGAAAGATATGGAGCGATAGAGTTGAGGAGGGTGTGTGCATTTTAAATTTAATTTTTTTTATAATTAATTTAGTGCTAATCTTTGAGCAGCTAGGCGCATAATTAGAACTATGTATATGTGTATGGATGTCTTTTTGATAAAAAGAAGCTGTTTTAAAAAGCAAACCATTTTCTACACTCTTTAAAAGATTGAACTCTACATGTACGAGATTATGTATAATACAAGTAATAATAATATAGCGTTAACTAGGCAATTATAAAAATGAGGTGACCTGCAGAAGGAGCCATAAACTAAGCGTCCTACATTAGGAGAGGGCAACCTACGCGATTACCCGAGATAACGAGATAATGCGATAACGAGAGGGGGCAAGAAAAAAACTAAAACGATAAACGAATTTAAAAATGAAAATGAAATTACCGCAAAAACCAAACTCGTAGCAAAGTAACATGTTTTTTCATTTGAAAACTCTACTACTTACTTACTTACTTTGCAAGTAATAACTAATTTCCTCTGATCAGAGTTACACGCAATCGCGAAATGCAAAAAGCTAATTACAAAACGGTTGGTACACGCCCACAAAAACACACAGTCAGACATTGTTCGTATTGTATTACAAAACAAAATAAAGAAATCCGAAAAGCAAACCGAAGAGTTCGATTTTCGTTTCAATTGCACTCCGCATGCTCATCCCTAGGGCAATTAAACAGAGTTCAACAATAAATAGCGCATTAAAAACCGATTCGAGACACTTTTTTAAACAAGGCAAATATATTTAAAATTAGCATTTAACTAAACGACAAGAAAAACTTAGTCTATAAACTGCAAATGTTTAGCACTAAACTCACCCGAGCAGAAACCTCCAAACCCACAAGCCAACCCGTTTCCAAATCCAAACCCAAACCTCCACCGGTGTCCCGAGTCTAACTACCACATCAATTTAAATAGCTAATTGCATAATTATTAAACCGTTACTGAATTTCTGTCGATTGCCAAACGCAAAAGTAAAAAACCATAAAAATCTTCCCAAAAATTATGCATGTAAAAACAAATGGCTAAAACAGAAACCAAACAAAAAATTAGCAAGAAGTCTGTTGTCGATAAGTATTATTGGCAGACAAATAAATTTCGTCACATTGACGATAATAATTAATTGTAAGTGAAAAACAAAGGAATTAAATGATTTAAATAATAAAGAAATTAATATTTAAAATCGAGAGACATGATTGCAACAAAAACACAAAAACTGAATAAAAATTTATTTTGAAAAGAGATTGAAAGCGACAAGTGGTTTTCTTTATAACAGTGGGGATAATTTATAATGGTCAGCTGTCTGAACGATCCTTTTCGGAGTCACCATAAAATACCAAAACGCCAAAAACGGACTTCAAATAAGCGCGTAAAAAATATACTGAGAGACATGATTGCAACAAAAACACAAAAACTGAACAAAACTGTATTTTAAAAAGAGAATGAAAGCGACGAGTTGTTTTCTTTATAACAGTGGGGATAATTTATTACGGTCAGCTGTCTGAACGATGCTTTTCGGGGTCACCATAAAATACCAAAACGCCAAAAATACTGACAAAAGGTACTAAAATACCCCCTCTGTCTGAACAGGCTATTTTAGATTTGTTTATGTTTTCATTGCGATTCGGACACAATTTAGTTTTCCAATGGACCTGCGTAAATTGTGCCGGATTTGCTTTGTGGACAGCGCTGCGGTGGACATCAGGGAGCACAGGAGCAGCGGCAGTTCGGATCACACAGTTCTCGAGCTTATACAGGCCATGTTGGGCAGGGTATGGCCAAAGAACTCGGATTAGAATCACTCTTAACACACTTCTCCCCCAGAATATAGCCCTAAATCTGACTGAGGAGCTGCCCATGATCTGCACTGGCTGTCTGGAGGACTGCCAGCAGCACTACGCCTTCTTCCGGAAGCTCAAGTTCGCCAATCAGCAGCTGCTGCAGCTCTACAACGAGGCGGAGGTGGAGATGTGCCAGGATGTAGTTGCTCTAGAGGAAAAGGAGAAGACTGAAGGAGAAAACGAGACGTGGGAGGAGTTTGCCCCACTGGATATTATAGTACTAGAGCCCGATCAACTGACGGAAACAAAAGAAACTGAGTTAAGCGCGGAGCCCATGCCAAAACCCTCACAGAAGCTGGCCAACCAGGACTCGCTTATTGTCTCCGAGTTCCTGCCCGCCACCACAACGCAACCGCGTCTGCAGCAGCTGGAGCCGCCCGCCTACGAGATGCGGACCGTGGACTATGCGGCCGTGGAGCTCAAACACTACAACCTGGACGAATACAACGAGGCCATTCGCCTGCTGGACGTGGAGCCCAGCGGAAGTCAGGCCATCTACAAGTGTCAGTACTGCCCGCTAGCCTACGCCTCGCCCCAGTATTTGAAGACCCATGTGCGCAACTCGCACGTCTGCAAGTACTGCACCACCGCCTTTGCCAAGGTGCGCGATCTCAACGAGCACATACGCAGCAAGCACTCACAGCACCAATGCGTCGTGTGTTCTAATAGCTTCAGCACCAGCAGCAATCTGCGGGCTCACTTGAAGAAAATCCATGGAGTTCAGCTGCCCGCTCAGGTGGCACTGCTGGATTATAAGCCAGCCTCCACTTAATAAAGAGGATTTACTTTTAAACAAGCTTTAATTTATTTCCCAGAATAGCTGGGACTTTTCCCTCACAGGATCTCCCTTCTGTGTGTCTTCTCCTTTAATGTACATGGGCGTGAACTCCCTGTAGGCTATGCAAACACGTCGCTCCTCGACATCTTGGCGCAAAACGGAATGCTCGAACTGATACCTCGCAGGTCCATACAAAACAATCAGGGAGAGGCTAAAAAAATATGGAATATAATTAGTTAGTCAGCCGATGTTGATTAGAGCCCTGCATGACTGGATTCAATGAATTATATGGAATTTTTTGTTTTATATGAATGAATTAATTAGAATTTCGAGATTAATAGAATTGAAATAATGAATGGCATGAATTCCGAAATAATACTAACGACGATTTCTTTTGAAGACGAAAGGGCCATAATTTTGTGATTAAATCTGCCTGAATTTTATTTACTATGCAGTTAACATTGATTTGTTAAAAATTTTTCACTTTTTGTTCTCAAAAGAAAGCACAAAAACAATCTGCCAAATTCATAAAAATTATTCATTCATTCTTGCAATTTGAAATTAATTAGAAAAACATTCAATTTATTTCACATAGAATTGAATTAAACAAATCAAAAATTAAATGATTCACGCAGGGCTCTAATGTGTGTAATATCTCGACTTACTTGGGCATGGGAATACGCAGCACCTTTCCTTTGTAGTTGGCCAGCTGATCCTCTTTAAGCAGCGGCGCCAGAAGATCCCCCTCGTAGTCAGAAACCAAATCCAGGTTGTACTTCCCGGGCTGCTGGATCTCATAAGGCGTCAGGGTGAGCACGGCGTCGCCCAGGCAATTAACAGTGACCACTCGTTCGCCCCAAATCCAGCAGTCGTCCACATGCGGATCTATGCTGGCTCCCTTACTGGGTTCGTATTCCAAAGAGCACTGTTCGATGGTCTGGAAGTTGCGCAGCAGCGGCACCTCCTCAAAGCGTCGCTGCACGTACTCCGTGCTGCGGGGGAATCCTGCAAAGGATCCCAGCTGCAGCTTTCGTTTCTTGAAGTTTGTCTTGGGTCCGAAATTCTGTTTACGCCGCCCGCTCTGCGAGATGTCCCAGGGCAGGGCGTCCAGGTCGGTTATCAATTGAGAGCCCTCCTCCGCGCTGAGGAATCCCTCCTGCACCAGGACGCCCGGCAGGGGAAGCCCCTCGTCTTTTTTATGGTCTCCATGGGCATTTTGCACCTTGGTCGTATCCCAACCGGGCTGCAAAAGTTCGCAGTGAACGCAGTAGACCCAGGATTCCAGCTGCTGGAACTGCTCCTGCAGCGAGGGCTTGGCTATCTGGAAGTCCTGCTCGCAGCTCAAACAGGTGCGCACGCCCTTGCAGCCACAAGGACGAATTGTGTTCATCCTGAAGTTGCGAAACACGTTAACAAATTAATAATAACAATATAGATGGGCCAATGTCGATAGATTCACATATCAAGAAAATACTTTAAATACCAAAAACAGAAGCTGTACATTAACAGTTTGGCGGGCTGTTAACCAATTCGAATTATAACAGTAGAGGAAATTGAAACGTTTTCAGATCTTTCAAAATAATTAAATACAAGACAATTGAAGTGAGAAAATAGTGTAGCTATTTGTCAAAAATAACCATACATGATCGCTTATGTATGTTCCCTCAATGTTGCATTCATAATTAATCCTTTTGTTAAATTTAAAGTAAGGTTAAAACTTTAAAATCGTATGGGAAATCAGAGTTTTAACCCTACTTTAAATTTAAACGAGAAAACGGTCCTTAGAATATTTTATTTCTTGTGTTCAGATTTCATTTGCTTTCCTCAAATACTTGGTACATAAACTCTCAAAATTTAAAAAGAGACTTTAGTTCTTAAAAAGTGTTGTAATGGCTATTTACCAAAAATAATGGTAAATGCAATGTTGCATTCATAATCACAATAAAGACAAAAGCCGGGTTTAATTTTCTTAGAATATTTTATTTCTTGTGTTCAGATTTCGATTGCTTTCCACAAATACTTAGTTTAAACCTGTTTCAATCAAACAAATGCTGCTTGGTGATCAATACTAATCGTTATTTTCTTCTCCAGCTAGTCCTTAACTAACGGTAGCCGAGCTGAGTCCAGGGTTCCGGAGTTCCAATATGGAACAAGTCAATACAATATAATATAGGGTGGAGCTCAGCCCGGGCGATGCGATGAATCCTGTTCTCTTCTCATTCAAATGGAGCTTGGGTGATCAGTCTTTTGTTGCAGATCCAGCTGCAGGTGCAATCGATCCGTCCATTAGATTTTGAGGCAGCTGCGATGCGAGCCGCATCTAGCGTAAACCTCCTCGAAGGAGCGGATGAGCTCGTCCATGCCGCGCAGCAGGCCCTCCTCGCGATTGCCCGGCGCCCACGAGCTGCGGTGGTCCACCCTAACCTGGGGCGGCAGCTCCCGGCACTTGGCAAAGTCAATCAGCCACACGCCCACTCGATCGTCGTCATAAACAATGAAGATGCTGGAGCCGACGATCTCGTGACGGGCAAAGAAGGACGACTGCTCGATGACCAGGCGCATGTGCTTCAGTCGCTTCAGCAGCTCCTTCTGCACGGATCGCCGGGCCGCCAGGAACTGTTCGATGGTCTGGGCAATCTGCTCGCCACTCCGGCAGGTCTTCAGATCCTTCACAGGCGGACGTCCGCGCAGACGCAGCGCCTCGATGCGGAAGCCCTTTGAGTGCGAGGAGGAGAGCGACTCGCGAAAAGTCATGTAACGCAGCTTGGTGATCGCCCGAGCCTCGTGCTCCGCCGGCGTGGGAGCTCCCGCATCCACGGCGATCATCTTCTGGTAGAGATCCGGTCGCAGGGTGGCATTGCTGACCTCCGATTCGAGGAAGGTGCGGCTGCCCATCTTGATGTCCATCACGCACGGATCCCGGAAGCCCGACAGCAGATCCTGCAGCTCAATGTAGTGCTGCGACTGCATCTCCTGAATCCCAAAGTAGGCGGGCACTATCTGTGCGGTCTGTGGCTCCTGGCAGATCAGCCGGTAGGCCTTCACCTCGCTGTCCTCGAAGCCCGAGATCCGTTTGCGCACTATTCCGGTGGACGTGGGAACAATGCTGGAAAAAGGATAAATATTTAGAGTTAATAATCTGAAGGAACTCTGTAAAGCAAGGCTATCAAAAACATTTACTTTGATTGCATTACCCCATTAATGATTTTAATATTCATGATATAAAAAGCTCTACAAGAGATAAGCATTTAAAACCGAGCTGACCATTTCCTGTTCAGAATTGATAAACTTAAGGATGTTTCAATTTACTTGCATACACACAAAAAAAACATGTTCCCGTAAAATCGATATGGCCATGTAAATTTCAGGTCAAGCCCATATCGTTTTTACATGAAATACTCTTTTCGACCAGGTCAAATTTACTTGGCCACACGTCGAATAAAAATTAATCTTAAATAATGTAAAATCGAGCTACGTTTCATATCAATTTTTTTTATGGGTGTACTTTAGGGTGGACTTCTTTAAGGTCAACTGAGCTCAGCATCTTAAATGGTAGGTTTCTGTGTCCAATAAATTTATGCGAAAACAGAAAAATTTTATTTCATCGTTTAGGCGGTGCGCAATGGCCTTAAAGTTTCGCTAAAAATTAAGTGTAAAACTAGGAATTTACCCCATTCCATTTCTTGTCAGATTTTAACATGTCAACTTTTTAATTTCGCTCGAATAAAAGAGTCAAGTAGAAATGTATTTCATGAATATTAACAGTTGGACGTAGCCTAGCCAGTAGAGCTTCTGTCTCCGAACAAAAAGGAGCGAGTTCGATCCCCGACTCACCTTTTTTTTTTTTTTGCGACCCACAATGAAATAGAGATTCTATTTTACAATTTTAAAGATTAACTATCACTTTTGCGTTCGCCAATAAAAATTTTCGTCAAAGAAGAAAACTCTTATTTTTCAGAGTCCGTAATATTTATAAGTTGTACTCTAAAAGTCCTTGATTATTCGTTATTATTGTTATTTTTAAGTTGTAATTGCCTCCCAGGGACTCGAATTTTATCAACGACTTCATCCCTTGTCAAAAAGCTCGGGAAAGTGATTAAGATACTTTTTTAAATACTGTCAAAGTATAAAATTAAGTCTACGGCATCTAGATGAATCTGAAATATGCGTAATAAACTTTAAAGCCGTTGCGCACCGCCTAAAACTAATTATTTTTTACTTTTTCTTTCTTTAATGGATTAAGGATACAAAAAGGTTATATTTGAAGGGGTGAGAGCATGGCCTTAGAAATTTCATACAAAATAAGTCCACCCTAGTGTACTTTGATTGCATTACCCCATTAATGATTTTAATATTCATAATATAAACAGAACTTTAAGAGATAAGTCTGTCAACCGGAGTTGCCCATTTCCAGTTCAGAGTTGATAAACTATAATAGATAATTTTAAGATCCTTACCTCTCTGGGTGACCGGACAGCTGCATCCAGCCCTTGGGCTTTATCTGCGTCTGAGTCTGCTGGTGCTGGAGGAGATGTGGCGTTGCTGGGGCACTCAACTCTAGGGCGTTCTGGAAACAAAAGAAAAAAAAAGCGATCTTAGTAACGAAGGAGTACGAATTCATTGATAAATCGCAGTTATCACCGCTGCGAACGGGTTTCTTTCGCCCGAGCAAAGCGAAACATTACTGTCCAACGCCCGGCTGTGATTATAAATAATCGAACAAATTTTATTTGCCAGGCCGAGGGCCACGCCCCAGCCTCGTAAACGTGAAATTTATGCAGGCAACCCCCAAGTGATATCGCATTGCCCGAGGCTTCGAGCAGGAAGCTCTGGCGATCTGATGGAAAGTTTCCTTCCCAACGAAAAGTAAACAAGGGGTACTTACAATGGCCAAGAACTTGAGCAGGGACATCTGAGCCGGAGCCTGATTGGATTGTATATGCTGATTCTTCTGGAGACTCAAATAGTCGCCCAAGTTGTCGCAGTTCTCATTGGGAATCCGCTGCAAGGAGAAAAAGAGAGGAAGCGGTTAGTTTATGGGTAAACAAAAATCAAATAAAAATATTAGCACCTAAATTGCATTGCATTCTATGTCCAACTGTGACTCACGAAGGCGTTAATTAATTATTCAAGCCGAATGCATTCTACTACAAGGCGGCCCCCGTTTTGTTTATGCTTATATAAAAAGAGACGGAGCTGCTTGATGGGTCGTCGTGTGTGGTTTACGACCAAATGTCCCTAATGAGCCACTTAGTATGCAAAGTTGGCGTTTGTTTTTGTGCTGCCTATGCGAATTGAGCCATAAGCATTGGCCATAACAAATAACGACCTGTCAGCGTAGAAGGCGATCCGATACGATCCGATCGGATCCAATGCAATCCAATCCGATACGATACGTTACGATACGAACCGAAGCGATCCTCACTCCACCGCTTTGATTAATTGACTAATTAAGGTAAATGCCTCGGAACTTGTTTATGCCCCGCTTCTTATATAGCTCTTGTTTCTCGCTATCTCCCCACTATTATCGTATCTTAACTGGCCAGATAACGCTGCGTCTTTTTCATAAGGCAAATCCCTACCAACCCCAGTAATCTAGGGTTAATAGCATTGCTACGATTGCGAATCTTTACGTAAGTCAAATGCAAATTTGCATATGTGGCACAAATTCGTCACGCGTTTCGGGAGGATCGAAAAAGGGGTGTTCGGGGGACCACAGTGAACACCCGTTGCCAGGGTCATCGCTCCTTATCAGCTGCGGAGTGGTATGATCTTGGTCTTATCACTTTGCGGCAGTTAGCGGTTGGCAAATGTTTGATTTGAGTCCGCAAATACGCTGGCTTAGCTGCTAAGGCCCCCCGATATAGGTTAGAGATAATGAATGGAATGACTTCGCAATCGCTACGAATGTGAAATTGGGATAACAGAACTTTATGGTGATTTCAAAGACCTGTTTTAGGCCTCATTCAAATTCTTCGGCCTTCTCTGGTCGAATTTCCATATCGATCGTAAACCAAAAACCCCCCTATTATGTAATAATTAGGCGCTAATAAGATGTCACAGTCGATTGAGGTTTGGCATGCCGCCTATCAAATTCGAGGTTCGACGTGTCGTGTCGTCAGCACTGACCTTTATCGAGAGTTACACATTACGATCGGGAGTTAACGGGGATTTAATTATAGCAACAATCGAACTAATCGACGTCAGCGGCTTTTATTCATTGACTACTTGTTTTACAACTGCTTTTACTACAGATTGCCAACGAGCCCATTCTACACATTCGATCCAATATTCGCACATTTTTGCACGTACACCACCTGGGTGAAATTAGCACATGGGCATTAATTTGGATTAGCCTAAGTGCGTCATACTGTGGGAGATTCTGGGCCTAGTACTTTTCAGTATTACTTCATTTTTATGTGCCCATTACATGTTTAATTATCTCATCGGTTCACTCGTGTATGCGAACATCCGAGGGAAATCGTTGAGGGAAAACCTCAGCGAAAATCACTTGTGACAGATGGAAATCCAAAACCGCAAAGTGAGCAAAATAATAATTAACTTTAACTCTGACATGGCGAACAAAATTACAGCATTTTTCGCTTGAGTGATTCGGTTTGCGTTCATTAAGGTTCTGATTTGAGATCGAGTTTGGAATCTGAGTGCGTTTCGGCCATGTTATTTTTAGTTTCCTTTGATATTTCGGCGTTTAACTAAGCTCACAGTTTAGTAGTGTTTATTTATGACTACTTAACATTTTCTATAGCCGCCGGACGAACGTGTTAACCGACAGAAACAGAAACAGAAAAAAATTAAAGCACACAAAAGAGGAAAAAACAAAAAAAATACTTTTCTTAAATCAATTTATGCGAGTGACGTCAAGGGGCTTTGGCTGAGCTGTTAATTAAACAAAATCAACCTGCCAAATTTTATTCGACTGTCTGTATAGTTCTTGGTCCCACGAAGGGCAACTCATGTTAAGGTTCACCCTAAAAACATACTATCTTGGCCCTGAACCTGCAACGTGCCACGAATACCGGTTTTTTTTCCAGGATCCCCGCTCTGTGGGCGTGACTCAGGTGCAGCAGCCTTCGCAGCTTTTGTAGAACACAACCCTGACATTATAAGACGGATCCCCAATTCCGAACCCGATCCCGAATGCCCCAGACTGTTCCCGGGGGGGTTTAATCGATATATCGATAGTCTCTCCGGTCCGCCGGGGAGTTTATTTGCATTGACGTCAATCCCCGGCGAACGGAGGGCCAGGGGGGCTCGCCTCGAAGGGTGGACGGGGGGGTAATGGGTGTTCAAACCAGTTGGCTTAAAAAATATAATAATAATATCGCAACACTCAACCCCGTCGGCAGAGGGTTAGATCCGTGTCTCAGGGGCAGAAACTATCAGAAAACTCTGAAGACCATCCATCCACTCTCTTTTGAGCAGCACTATCAATCTAAGTCGCAGTTTTAGTCGGTTCTAGTGGTCATGAGTAACGGTTGGTTCTCCAGAGGAGAACCGGATCCGCTTAGACCCGACCCACGAAATGCGTCAATACGAATAACGTCTCTTTCCCTTTAGTGCATTCATCGCGCTTACACGAAAATCCAAGTGATTCACTCTGCGAAAGTTCGACATTCACCGCCAATTCCGAGCAACAAAATTTTGGCGACATAATTAAGATGACGGGGATTAAGGGGGAATACCCGTAAACTAGATTAGTGGCTAACCAAACCCGATCGCCGAGCTTCTAATAGCCTTCGCTCTTGTCGGAAGCCTTGATCTTGGACTAGCGAAAAATCAAAATGGCCGAAATTAACCGATAGCAACTGAGGCCACAAAAAAGTGTGGGCCGCTGCACTTGACACTTGAAGTGCTCAGCTCAGAAACACTGAGAGAAACTCAGCTGCACCGTAAAAAAAATCTATATGAAACGTAGATCAATTTTACATTATTTAATTGTAATTTAATATGTGATCAGGTAAATTTGACCTGGTCGAAAAGAGTTCTTCATGTAAAAACGATATGGGTGGAAATTTACAAGGCCATATTGATTTTTTTTGTGTGTGGGAGTCAAAAAACCTCGGTCTTTCAAATAAAGATTTGTTTTTTTTTTAACCAAGAAAAATAAGGACTTGATTGCTCAAAAGGGAGCTACCCATCTCTGTCACTGGTCTTTGTCAACGAATCAATTGTCTTTAATAAAGGCGGAATCAAATGAATCGATTCGATTGTCCACTCCGGAGAGTCCACATCTCAATGTGTGATCATAACTGGCCGTGTCCGGCTGGGTTACGTTGACAGCCGGGCTTTAATTAGCGGAGGAGACCCGTGGTATGCAAATTGGCGTTACGTGGATTATTGGAATTCCAGGCCGATCTCACAGCTCCCACACTCTGTTTGCATTTCGCATAGTTCGGGGGGTGACTGGGTGGTTGGGTGGGTCCCACAGTTGTTTCAACAGTGGGTCCACGACAAACAGACGTCATTCAAGGCCCGGAACTGGAGTTTGCTCGGTAACTCTGTTTTGTATGCTTTTTTCGTCGAGTTTCGGATTTTTTTTTGGTCACTTTCTCTGCAAGTTGGCTTTCTACGCGGATGTGGATGCGTTGCCCCAATCCTCATTGACGTCACTAGCTTACAAGCTTTCTTTTCTTTCGACCACTTACCTCGTTGTTATTGTTCGATTGCTGCTGCTGTTGCTCCACATCCAACATCATGGGGCTGCGCTGCTTGGAGGAGGGAGCACTGGCACTCGTGTCCAGGGCAATCAGCTTCCACAGCTGCTTTAGGCCAATGTTGTCGATGCAGGAGAAGCGCAGCTTCTCATTTGACCAGGCCATCGTGGAGCGACTTCTCGTCGAACTGGCCGACTTGGAGGCCTTCTTCTCGGCTTTGGCTTGAATTGGCCGCTGGAGTACCGTTGAAGTCATAGTCATTCGGCTGGGATCGCTTGCGCACTTAGTTTCACTTGGTTGGTCTCTCTATATATTGTATGTATATCGTTTGTAGATTTTCACGCTTGGCGATTTTATGCTCGGCACATTTGCATTCTGACTCCGACTCTCGGCACTTTTATATTTCCTATTCGAAAACTGCGTTCTCGTTTCACTTCACTTGCACTGTGCCGTAGGCATGGGAACTTCGTTATCTCTATATCCAAGTGCGCTTTGTTTTTGCACTTTTATCTTTATCGCACCGTTCCGTTGGGAACTGTTTCTAGGCACTATAGACGATCGCGGCGAATCGGCGGATCCGGCGAGAATCGAGGCGTTACGTTGTCTGTCTGACTTGGTCTGGGAGGTCTGGGAGGCGACTAACTGGTTTCGCCATATGGCAGCCAGTTTTGTGATCAACGGATCGGCAATTTCACGAAGTGCTCTCTCTTTGGGGAATTGGAGTGCCGGAGATCCAAACACTGGGCTCTCTGGGGAGCGGCGATCGAGAGCGCCACGGAGAGCCCAAGAGAGGGTGGGGCTACACCCTCTGGAGGAATCAGAGCTGATCGAATTAGTCTTCTGGATATTTCAGGAATTAGCCGCTGGGAGTGATAAAAAAAGTAGGAGGGATTATATACGGAAAGATGTATAATGTATAACGTTATGTATAAAAATCACAACGCAATAATCACAAAATCATAAAGCGCCATTTATATTGGCATTCAAATAAAAGTTAAACCAATAAACCATTTTAAGAACTGTATTTCATTTCAAAATATAGTAGAATATCTGTCTTTAAATTTAAATCACATTTCTAATTTTGGAAACTTTAAATAATAAAAGTAATGAATGGAACTGCTTTATCTTTAAATAAGAAAATTAAACTCAAAAAATATATATTTTTTAACAACAACATATTTATAGGAACCCTTTGACGTCAATTACAGGATGAGCAATCAAAAAATCAAATAATGATTTTAATGAGTAATATTATATAGAGGTTTTGGTTTTACTATTCCTCTCAAGTTTAAAATCAAGGATCAAAAAGAATTTGAGGCTTTTCCATCAACCCATTCTAACCTTCAGACTGTCAATTAATAAATAGCTAAGAAGGGGTAAATCCCAAACTAATCCACCCTTGAACGATTTATCTTGAATGTAAATGTCATGATGATTCCACCAAACCGATTTTGAGATTAATCCATAGCTCACTATATATAGTAAACAAGGAATTTCAAATGCGTCGATCGTCATTTCGCCACATTTTTATTCCAGAGGGCTCGGCGAAGTACGATCCCAACTATTGTTTACTTAGAATTTCACATGGCAAAGAAAGGGAAAACAACTGAAAGCGAATACATTAGAGGCGGGGAGAACTCGTAGAATCCTAGACCAGAAAAACAACATCAGATTTTTGTTTTGTCAAGGCGCAAAAGAGTGATCTTGGACTCCCGAGCGAGGGGAGGGGATGAACCGGAGGGCAGACAGATGGCGCCATTTAAGGCCAGGCAATGAACCGTCGCGACTTCTTTTATCTGAGCTGTTGTTGAACTTGGCGAAATTCCCGGACCCATCTGCAATGCTAATCCGGCCAACTGCGCAATGTTTCGGGATCGAGGATTATGCAAACTGTCGCCGAAATCTGCGCCAATTTTCCAGATCCATCGAGTTCATGGCCATCGGCCGAAGAATATGCAATGTATGCGCATATTTATTTTGCATCTCGATACCAAAACCCATTCCCAATCCCAATTCCATCGAGATGCGTGCGTCAGTCTGAGTTTGAGTGACATACAAACCCCGAGTTCGAGTTGCATTTTCATTTCCATCCCCCCCAGAAATCCTCCTCCGGCGGCCCACATGGCAACTGCGTCAGTGGCCGGACAGCAGTCGTCAGTTGTCGCAGGCCTCGTCATTGTAATGCAAAGCCAGCATATGCTAATTGCTTTGGAAACTGCCCCGAAATGCATTGAACTTTCCTGCAGACGGCCGGCGGCAACGTGGCGTATGAGTAACAATAGTTTCCCGGGCACGTGATCAGAGGAGCCGTTTTCCCCCAAAACACTATTCTGGCCGTAATTACTATTCCGGCGCAGTTGAAGCGATTAATATTAAGTCGAGCAACTAGCTGCTCACACATTATGTACAATTATAGCGATCGATAAAAACCAGGGGCGTAAACCAGAGAAAAATCAAGATCAAAACTATTTAAATAAAAGAAATAATATAAAATCTAAAACTAATTTTTTGAAGAAAATGTCAAGTAAAATACGTATTTATTTACATTACTATTTATAATAGTTTCAAATAATAATAATAAATTTTTTAGTAAAACAATCTTTCTTCTATAGCTCTATTTTAAGGTTTATTTGGAATAAAAGTCGACTATAAGTTAATATATACTTTATTTGTAATAAAACGTAATTTGTATCTTAAACGACACATTTAAAGAAAGCTTTTTGAATAAAAAACAAGAGATAAAAATCTTTTTATTGGTTATAGTATAAACGGTATACGAGGGTTAGGACGTACCCCTTTTAAATTTCAACTTGCATTGCATTGCTGGGGCTGCACTTCAATTAAGCGATATTATTGGCGTCTCGCATCTCGATTCAAATGGCACTTCCCACTTGAGTGAATAATCAGAGATCCCAACTTAAAGGCAGCCCATCTGAAAAGCCCAGCCCCGGTTCCAGACCCTGATCATCATCATCATCCTCATCATCGTAGGCCTGACGTCAAACGCAATGTTTGCGTAAAATTTCTTTGTCACGATCGGAGGAATGGAAGGGATGCGGATGGGCCATCTGCACGCACCAGTGGCTAAGACAGCCAGACAAAGAATCCAGATGCCAGAACCGAGAGCCCTGAAGAATAAAAAAATATAAAAACCAAGATGCAGCCAGCTTCATCGACGGACTTTTGTACTCCGTCACCCTGTTGTTTCGCTTTTTGCCCCGACGATTGACGCACTTCGTTGTCTTGTCACTTGACTTTTTTAATCTCGCGACTTTATCGTAGCTGACTGGACTGGGATTCGAATTCGGATTCGGCATCGGAATCGGAATCGTTCGTCATAAGTGTGTAACTTAATATTGCGCTCAGGTAGTGGAGGCTTCTCTTCCTCTTGTTTGGATTTCAATCATACTCGCACTCCACAGAAGAATGTTTGCTATAGTTTTTTTTCTTTGGCTTGCCAGACGGAGCAGTCGCTCGCTATTAAATTATAGCTCAATGACTTTCCTGACGTCACAGTATTAAGCTCAGTCAACAAAACGCCAAGAAACCAGCGAAGCTCCAAAAAAAAAAAAGCGTTCCTCATTAACATGTTCTCCATGTGGGAGTGTTTGCGCTGGTAGTCGCCGATCTTATAGAGAACTATATATATGTACGGATAGAGAGAACTACAGACGCCAGCTTGGCGCCGCTCAAACAATTAAATCGCTCAGCTGGGAAATTGAAAAATGAGTTTAAAATTAGAATCGCTATCTTTAAATCAAGCTGTGAATGTCTTATAAAAAAACTTGGCAATGATTAATTTAGAGCAAGACGTGTCTGAAAGGATTCCTCGAGATCAGTCACCCTCCCCTACCTACCTGTATTTTGATGTATCGCCTTGGGAATTCCAAATAAATTGATTTGGTAATCAAAACGGGCAAGTCACATTTTGCATTTTAACTTAACGTCTACAGATTTTGATTCTTTTTCGGGAGCAATGAACTGGCTTTGTATATTTGACTTGCACTTTTCTTTATTTCAAGTTACATTTTATCATATTTACCTCTATGAAGTGTCCTTCAGTTTGTCGGTGCTTCAAGTGTGAGTTCGATATCTTTGTAGAATGTTTCATAAGCTTTGAGCGTTTCCCATTGTACTATTGTTTGAAGTTCAGTGTTTGACTTTACTCGTGAAAACGCAAAAAACGTGTAAGCCACAAGTTAAACCAAGTGTTTAACCAGCTGTAGTCACTGCCTGTCCGACAATATCTAAATATGTCATATAGCGGTTTACCCCATATAAATTTATAAAGCCACTGAGGGCGCAGGCCAAGTGCTGGGAAAGTACCAAGTAGCCCATAAATAAGAGCGAATTTTTCAATGAATAACAGAACGTTCATATATTTATTTTTAGCAAAATAATTATAAGAAATCTACAGAGCATAAAATATGTAGTAAATACAATTTTAATTTAATTTAATTTATTTGTTTTAATATCCCGATTAGGAAGACTATGTTTTGGTAACATCGGTAACTTTATGGTAGTTATAAAATTACTAAGGAAAAAGAGGAAAAATGTAATTTAAGAAAACAATAATAATGTTGACATTTAGAAACAAATTCACTTTACAGAACATTACATAAATGCTTAAAGCATAGGGAAAGGAAAAAGAAAATCCACTAAATTATTATATTTATAGAGCTTTCTAAGCAACCTAGGACTTTTATAATCGACAGGAAATGACAGTCATCAAAATGTTTAAAAAACTTTCCCCGTAATTTCAAAGATTCAAGTCTGATAATCGTGAGCATGGCCTGACCGACAAACGTCACAATTTAGTAGAGATGAGCTCAGAGACTGATAAGAAGTTTATTGGGAATTACAGAGTTATGGAAGATTTCCCCCAACAATGAAATACGTCACAATGCAGTCACTTAAATTGCTGGATTCTGCGAATTTTAATCCGAAATTGAAAGCCCCCTTTCTGAGAAACTAAAACCAAGTGGTGGTTTTATTGCGAGCACTCGAAATTTATTGAAATATCCTGGCTTGGCAACCATTTAAACCCCGAGTGCTCCCATTTCCGAGGTCAAACGCACTGTTAGTCAAGTTTGTTTGTTGCCCGTAACGATGGACTCCTCTAGGGGCTATCAACCTGCTAATTTGAGCTCAGTATCATTTGTTTTGTGAATGATTTTTCGCAAACTGTGTCTAAAAATAGTGTCTCAGCATGTGAATGGCGCGAGCCGCTGATAAAGCTGAAAAGGCGATGCTCTCACTTGCCGATAATCCAGGGATCAGACCCCAAATAAAAATGCCAGGCAGCGACTGAAACACAATAGCAGGAGAATCAATTGCTGGCGAAAATAAAATTAGAACCTGACCAACAGAACAGCCGAGGAGCAACAACAAACAAACAAAAGAATAATTATTTATGGGCGTGTAAACAATTTGATTGATTCGAGCCAAACGATCCGAAACCGAATCGATGAGGAAAACAGAAAACAACGGCTGCCTTGTGTTTTAGCCAGTCGATTAAATCTTTCGCCACAGTACAACAAACTTGAGTATACTTTCTTTTTAATCGCATTATGTCATCCACTTTAGTTGAGCATGATCTTGAAGTATGACAAATAAAAAAAGCAAGCAATGGAAATATATTTTTATAATATAAATTAATATATGGGTACTACTATAATCTCTTCTTTGAGCACATGGCTTGTGGATGTTCTTTGTTATTAATTAGATGCAATCCATTATGTCAGGTTCTCTGGTAACACAGTGACCTCCCTCCCAGGGGATCATGACTTTCGAAGCGATCACGTTTTCTGCCTCGTAGAACCCGGCACGTTCTTCCCTTTTTCAGAACACCTCATCCAAAGTGGGAATAAACATGAATCGAATCGAAGCCAAGGCAGAACGTTCGATTTCGAGTGCAAAATCAATTTGCGTCAATTGCAAGAGATTAGCCTCGCTCTAGTTTTTTGAAAAAAAGTCGCGAGCTAACAACCATATAAATCAGCGCCAGATGATAATAAATACAGCAGCAGACAAGACAAAGCTCTACGGGGGGCCTGGAAACAAGAAAAAGATGGAGAGATCACTTTGATTCGTCTTATCGCAAACAAAATGAGTTTACATCGGAGGAGTACCAAAAATAGCCTGCCTGCTTCTTTCAGGGCCACGTCAGTCGGTCAAAAATGGGAATCAAGATCTGGGAGGAGTTGAAAATCCAGAGATACAGTTGCAGTCACACTTGTCTTTACCGTTGCGTGACGCAAATTGATCGCCGTTAAGCGGAAGGTTATTTTTACAACCATACACCCGAAATAACCCAAGTCGAAATGCGAAGCTTAAAGCGAGTGCATCTGTCCCGGATCGATTAACCCAGGCAGCCGATGCCGCTGATCTCCGGGCCCCAGTCCCACTTATCAGTCCCCGCCATCGGAACCATAATTGAGTAATATATTGGCAGACATCGGGATCGGAATCGGGATCGGGAGACATCGCCACCCGGGCACGTGGCATGCAAATGAGCGGCGAAATGCTTGCGGAATATCATTAGACAGATTTGGCAACCTTGGGGAACGGAACAAATCCGCAGATAATTAAATCCATGCGAACCCCGATTCAGGGGAAAATTTATTGCTCTTACATTTCCATTGAATTCAAATATTTGTTCACCCACAAATCACATTTTCCCGTTAATATTTGCAGTGAAAATATTTATCAAGAGATTTGTTCAGTTTCAGTGGGATTTATGTAGCTGAAAAATAACAGTATGTGATGCCGGAAACAATATGGGTTATTGGAAGGGGTTTTCCATCGAAATTCTTGAGAAGTGATTTTCAATTGTTATTGTTAAATTATTGTTTAAACAATCCCCAAAAGTATGTGGTGTCATATATCATTTACCTACAGTATGTGTAAAATACAAATCCTGATGTGTTAAGACCTTTTTTCAAGATAGAAGAAATTCCCAACATAGATGTACTGTTAAAACAGATATATTACAATTTTAATACATTTTTATTTTCATATTATTAAATTCGAAAAGTACTGCATCATTGTACAAACCTCTAATCTTATAATAACAATCGGCCACTTTTTGAACTTTCATCGACTCCAATTACAAATCTAAACCCTCAGATCTGAATGGACTTATCAGCTTTTGGGATTGCTTACGATCTGACACATTAATGGCTTTAAATGCTCGTTGAGAGATTACCAAACGGCGTGATTATGCGATTAGGAATCGTGAAAATCAAAATCTAACAGATTGGCAATCAGACACTGTTCCACTAATCAGCTGACCGAAAGGTCCGAATATAGATTTGGAAAAACCCCATCCAAGGCAAAAATTGGGGCTACACTGACACTCGCAATTCGCGCAGCTGACACGAGTGGAATATTTGAACACCGTAATTGTGGGCGGCCGGGAGGTAGGTAGATAACAATGAGCTCATTAGCAGGCCAATGCTAAGTCAAAGACAATAACAATAATGGGGAGGAGCGAGTAGGAAGTTCACATAATAATATATTTGCCGCAAACAATTTCCTATTCATATTTGCCCAGCTTATCGACTGTGTGTGTAGTTCGGTAGCCAGTTGCGCATAGACAAATAAATATGAGGATAATTGTTTCTCCATTCCAGTTGGGGGTGTGAATCTGACAACAACAATTGCTGTTGATTCACTGCCTCGATTACGTCTAAGCACACACAGAAACCGAGGTGAAAGTCCTCCTCCCACCTCCACTGACCCTCAATAATTGAAGGATATGATAAGGTTGATAGCGGATCGAACAGCTAAAGGGCGTGTAGCTATTCAATAAGTTGTTATGATGACTTTTTACTTTGGTATAAATAAAGGTCTTAGTTCCACAAATCACTCACAGTTTATAGGAAAATATCATTCGCACTAAAGTCATGTCAGCTTTACCTGAAGAGGATTCTCCGCCACCCTTATATCTAGTCAACTTTGAGAACTACCTAAGACCTAAAAACCCAAACAAATGTCAGCCTCTTCAGCGTTTCGAAAAGCCAGTTGGCAAAACATCCAATTTAAGAAAAAGTTTAAAGCGATTAAAGCTGATAAAATGGTATATTGACCTCTCAAAACGTTTTAGGCAACTGCCATTGCCCAGATTTCTTGGATTCCTGCGCGCCCGTAATGATGATGGTCTGTGTAAACGGAAAACGGGATTCGAGATCTATTGCGAGATGGCCAGCATACATGGCTTTCACATCTTTGTGGGCGCCAAAACCTGGCAGCGAATTCTCTGGTGGCTGCTCATTTGCAATGCGGTGATGCTTTCACTTATCCTGGTAATAATGTCACTTTCGATGTCGAAGGAAATGCCCACCATACGATTTATGGACACCATGATGAATCCCACAGCCGAAGTGCCATTTCCTGCTGTTACCATTTGCGGTTTAAGAACAGTTTCTAAGAAAATGATACAAACTAAAGCCAAAGAATTAAGTTTGTCTGCGGAAGATCTTCAGACATTTGAATTCATGAACTCTTCTGTGATAGAAAAGCTAACTGCTAGAAATGTAAGTTGGCTAGAACTCCTCGAGGATCTTGCTTCTCCGATTTGTCCGCAAATAAAGAGGTGTCGATGGGAAAATCGCAAGGAAAGCTGCCTAGAGAAAATGGAGCCCATTTGGACTCTTGATCAACGCCTTTGCTGCAGTTTTAACTATCATCAGCTGCTTTTTAGCTCCCATTTGGGAGTAAGTTTGGATCTAAGATCTAGTGATGAGGAACTCGAAAGTTTAGAGGTTCTTATACACGAATCACACGAGATACCCAATGATGCTACACCAAGGTTATTGGTGCCAAGCGGATCAGAGGCTCACATAATGCTTAGACCCTTTGTGAACCGATTCTCGGTAAATCTGGAGAGCCTTACGCTAAAGAAAAGAGGATGCTATTTCCCAAAAGAACGTCGTTTATTCTCATCAAATGCGTATAACCAAATCAACTGCCTGGCAGAATGTCGTAGCGAAGAAATCTGGAAATCGTGTGGCTGTGTTCCCCCCAAAAATCCTCGACAAAACAATTGGAATATTTGTGACCTGAGGCAAATGCAGTGTGTAATGGATCACAGTAAGTGACAGAATATTTACGGAACTATGCTGATCTCAGACTGCTTACAGATCACCATGAGATCATCGAAGGCGAACAAAAGAACTGCGAATGCCTTCCGCCATGTGAATACAATCGCTATGAATTCCAGGGTGATATAAGATCAATAAAGGGAATGACTAATAACAACAAGAGCGATTCAAGGTATTTTATAACACACTGAAATGATTTGAATTATTACTTTAATATAAATATTTGTTTAACACAAGAAATTAGAAAATATCACGTCAATATGGGTAAATGTTTTAAAAACAAAATTCTTTCACAGTTGATTGAATTATGAATACCCACACTTACTTCTAAATATAATTCCAGCTATCTAAAGTCACCAAATGAATTTCGACTGCGTGTTTACTACGATTCACCAATTGCTGAAGAGCTCTTTTTAGACGTTTACGAAAACTGGCTGACATTCATAGGCAAGTCCACTAATGACCTACAAATGTTGACATTGATCGAAGAACGTATTTAATGGGGCAGGAACTTTTGGAGGGATAACCGGACTATTTATGGGCTGCAGTTTTGTGTCGGTCTTCGAGCTGATTTTCTTTACGTGTGTGCGACCTACATGCAACTGGCTGACCAGGCAACAGATACTTTGGCGACGAAGGAGGATTCAGAGGGTGGGCAACACCGGCGAGGTCATTAGGCCTGGCTAATTAGGAGTTGGCCTAATTACCTTGGCTTCGTCCAAGTCACAGTTAACCCGGGGAGGTCTACCAGCAGAGATGGCGTTCAAAAAGCGGCGCATCTTCGATTTACGACAGGTTCAGGCACAACAAATGGCCACCAGTACAACCGCCAGTCGAAGACGCAGTGATCCCAGTCAAAATAATCCACAAAATCCCATCCATCCTGAGCATCGATTTAGGAAAATCGGAGAATGGTTCTCCGAGAATATGCGCAACTACTGCCAGACCACTTCGCTCCATGGATTCAGCTACATCACCCGGCAGGACATCAGTCGCAAAGAGCGATGGTTCTGGCTGATAGTCGTGATTCTGGCTATCATTACCTCCGTTGTCCTGGTCGTGGTGTCCTGGTACTGGAGCCAGGAAACTCCAACGGTGACCGTCATTGAGAGCTCGCACTTCCCCACCTGGAACATTCCCTTTCCAGCAGTCACCATATGCAATTTCAACAAGATATCCAAGAACAAGGCACTCAGCTTGCTGCAACAAATGTAAGTTGGGAGGTTAGAAAGGAGACTTTTATATATTTTTTCTATGGATTTTCAGGCAACTTCCCGCGGGTGTTAACAAATCTGAACTCCACAACCTCTTCAATCTCACACTTTTGCCCGTCGACAGTCTGATTAGCAACAGTACTCTGGAGATATACGATCGAATTTTAAGCCTCAACAATCTAACGCTTACGGGACTCACGCAGCAATTATCGCCAGACTGCATCGATATGATCTCCAGATGCATTTGGAAGGGCATCAATACGAGATGTGACAGTCTCTTCCAACGCATCGATACCATGGAGGGGCAGTGCTGCACTTTCAACTACTTTGGCGGCATTACGAACAATTTTCCAGAGTAAGATTGGATTGTTAAAAACATATTTATGGTAATACAAACTTTGCTCTATAGGAAAATCGCATATCAAGTTCCAAAGCGACCTTATCGCGTCACAGGCTGCGGCTATCCCACGGGTCTCTCGGTGCTGCTCAATCCCATGATATCCGACTATTACGGAACCTTCTTCAGTGGCTATGGATTCCGTTTGCTCCTCCACGATGCCTACAACTTTCCGGATGAGAACTCGGAGACAAAGGTCGTCACTACGACAAGGGAGAGTTTTGTGAGGATAAATCCGGAATCCACCTACGCCACCAACGATATCCGCCGCATGGATCTTTCCCTGAGGAACTGCCTCTTTGGCAGCGAGAGGACCATGCATGGTCTTAAGAGGTACTCCTTCATCAACTGCATGTTTGAGTGCCGGGTGAGGATGACCATCGACCTCTGCGGCTGTCTTCCGCCCTATGTTTTCAATAACGGCAGCTACCAAGTTTGCGGAGTTCGGGAAACCAACTGCATGATTCACAGCAAGAGTAAGTGGACCAATAGAAGGACGGGTTGGTTACTAAAATCTCGCTTTTTCAGGACTCTTCTCACACGCCCTGGCCAATTTAAATTTCTCACTCTCGATTGTTAGAGATACAGAAAGCTTTCCCTGCGGTTGTCTACCGGATTGCCAGTCAAATCATTATGTTTCTGAGAGCACTACGGGCCGGCTGGATATGAGTTACTTTGCCAATCGTCCAACGTACAGGTGGGATGTTCTTTAATCTATTACATTTTTTAGATTTTAGTTTCGAATAGTTCACATTAAGCTGTTCCCGTTCTTATCTATTAACAATAGACCTCCCTATGTCTATATAACAGTGGTTTCTCTGCCGCTGCGCTGCTAGTGTTTCGACGCACACGTACGCTGTAAAGCAGAAAAGCGTCACTTACACAAACGCAATGCTATATAACAATTTTATTACCAACTTCAGAGTTGACAAGTTTTAACCATATTATTTATTTAATCGCCTACAGCAATGCCACGGACAATATACTGCTGCATGTATTTTTCAGCGATCTAATGAGCACCAGATATCGCACGGACATCTTTCAGAACTGGCTATCCGCCCTCGGTATGCAAACTATCCACTTAATACTTTTCCCTAACTTACAATTGATTACTGTTCTGCTTTTGACAGCTTCCTTTGGCGGTTTACTCGGTCTAATTATGGGATTCAGCATAGTGACGGCCTTTGAGTTCCTCTACTTCCTCACATTTAGGCCCGTTTTCAACTACATCAACCGGGCGGAATAGTGCAGCCAAAGCACAAAATCCCTTCGCACATGCACTCCACTTGACACGCTTTCATTAGAGCTCTGATTGATGAGCAGTAGCAGTAGTAGTAGCACTATAAATCGTCTGGACTCGAGCACTCTGCAAACAGAATGGCTCGAGTGGAGGAGTCCCACTATCGCCGCTTGTTCCGTGAGTTTTTGCGCCAGAGTTACATCAATGGCCTGCATCCGTTCCTCTACCATTCACCCGTGCGATATGCCAAGTGAGTTTAAAAAGGGTTGTTTAAGTGGATAGGCATAATGTTACACATAATCCAATGCATTTTGTTAAATCTTCTTCAAAATTACATTGATTGGGCATAAAATCAAAACATTTATGAAAATTATGCAGTAATTTTCAAACGCCCAATCTGAAGGAGGAAAGAAAATATACATTTGAAAGCATTAAATTCATATTTTAGAGAACCCGACAGTTGTTGTTGAGTAAACAAGGAAAAGAAAGGAGCTTCTTTGTTGTTTTTGAAAGCAACTCTCCGAAAAACCTCTAGTGATTTCTGGGACACATCTGAATGTAATTTATATAGAGCTTACACAAGTGACAAACAAAAAAAATATTGTATTAACGTGTTAAGTCTTACCACATTAAGTACAATAAATTATACATTTTAACTAGTCCTATTGGCATTGTAATAAATAGCAATATCATAAATTACAAGAGTCGGAACCGAGTTTGAATATTACAAGGTTCCTCTTTTCTTCCTGTTACAAGATTTATCCCTATCCTAATATACCCTGGTACCCTTCAAATTCCTAAGCACCTCCTATTTGCAGAGCTCTCTGGCTGGCTCTACTCACCGCCCTTGTGATCTACACCCACATAGTGATCGTCAACCTCACCCAGGAGTACCTCGTCCAGCCCACCGAGATCCACATGGCCCCCGACTTGGTCCACGTGGCCAACAGTCCCTTTCCGGCGGTGGGAGTCTGCACGGCCAACAAGATCAGTCAACGCCTGCTACGCAATTATGCCGTTAAACTGTGAGTACTTTATTGGGTAAGCCAAAGTCGCTTAGTCGAAGTAGCCCAGGTTCTTGACCTCGGCGGCCATGGCGACGATGGAGTCGAGCAGCTCCTCGCTGGCGGGAACGATCTGCTCGGCGGGGAGCTTGAAGCCGGTGAAGTAGGAGGTCGAAGAGGGGCGCAGCTCGTAGCAGAAGGACATGCGCACATCCTGGGTGCCGTAGGCCCAATCCACGCTGGCTCCAGCAGCCGGGTAGATGGCATCGTAGATATTTCCACCGGTATACTTGGTGCCATACCGCTTGTTCACGGCGGCAATGGAGGCGTCGTAGACCTTCTCGAAATCTTTCACATTATCGGGCAGATCGGCGGTGTGTCCATAGGGATACAGCAGATACTGGGAGTAGGCGTGCAGCGAGATGTACAGCTGAATCTTGCCCTTCAGGCTCTTCAGATACTCCGACAGCGAAAGAGTTTCAATCTCGGAGAAGGCGGAGGGACCGGCGTAGGTGTCGGAGCAGGCATTGCTACTGGCCCCAACCTCGTTCCAGTGGAAGCCCCAGTTGCGGTTGGGATCGGCACCGAAGCAGCTGCCGTAGGGAGTGCGGGTCTTGCGCCACAGACGATCCGTGGTGTGGGTGTAGACATAGCCATCGGGATTGGCATGGGGCAGGATGTACCAGGTGTAGTTCTCGGCCAGCTGCTTGATGGTCTCCACCTCGGAGGTCAGCAGCTGGTTGATGATGTAGGTGGCCGCGGCGGGGGCGATCCATTCGCGGGCATGGATACCGGCCTCCAGGAAGATGCCGGGCTTGTTGGCGCCTCCCCGGGTGATCTTCACTCCGAGGATGGAGCGTCCCTGGTAGGTCTTGCCGCCCTCGATGAGGGTAACCACTCCCGGGTTCTGCTGGGCAAGGGTTTGTAGCCAGCTGTAGGTGTCGTCCAGTTCGTAGTACTCCGCCCAGTTGTAGGCCCTGGTGGCGCGTCCCTTGATGGCCACCTTCTCGTCGATCTCGTCCAGCGATTTCTGCACATCGCTCGACTTCAGTTCGTACTTGATCTCCGACTTGCCCATGATGTCCAGGAAATCGGGCACCTTGTGGGGAGCCACCACGATTTGGACATCGGCGCCCACCAGATGAACTCCGTCGAGGAAGAGGATCGAATCGCTGGATCCCTCCAGATCCTTCAGCACCGCCAGCTGCTTGGCATCGGCCGAGGCGGCCTTGTACAGGCGGTAGTTGTCATAGCGAACCCGTTCGGCGCTCACGGAGGCCACGATGGCCAAAAGGGCGAGAAGAAGGCACTTGGTCAGCGACATGGTTGTCGTTGCTTTGAGCCACCAGCCGATGGAGCACCTCCTTTTATAGGCCCGCGATAAGAGTGGCCACAATCCGAATCTAATTTACGGTACGCCACTGCCTTTGACAATCGCTCGGGCAGTAAATATCGGAGTAATCTATGCAATCGGTGTGGAACTCCATTATCGCCGTCTCAACGGCTGCGACTGGTAAATCATTAGAAATCCCGCCCTGCTCCTCGGCCCATGACGTCTTGAGCTCTTCAGGAAACTGCCATTTCATCAGACAGTTAATCCCTTGGTCTTGTCATTAAAAGTGAAGAGTTTCTGTCCTTTAGTTATTCCAACTATTCGAAAGAAGTGGTCAGAATTTGTTATTATTATAAATTCCCAGTTCAGAAGAATTACTCATATTAGTTTTCTTTAAATACACCTAATTCCATTAACGTATTACCAATACTCCACCTAATTCATTAGCTTTCAGTCTCAACACTCAATAGTCTTTCTCTTATATCAATCACCATTTCCGACTGTAAAAGTGAGAAAAGATTCGAACTATTTGAAAGAAGTGGTCGGAATTGTTTCCCTTTCAAAAAAAGGGTAAATCCCACGGTAGCTTATCTTTCTAATCAAGTTTGGTAAATTCCCAGCTAGTTTTCTTTAAATACACAGTATTCCATTAACCTATTACCAATACCTATCCTAATTTTTGAGTTCCAACACTCAATAGTCTTTCTCTTATATCATTCACCATTTCAGACTGCAAAAAATGATTAATATAAATCAAATAGTTTATTTTTCTATTGAATATTGACTAAGCGAATTTGTAGCTTTCATCTTATCAAACCGTCTAAGTTATCTTTGATAATCAAGCAAGGTTATGTTTGGTTTTTGTCACAAACAATAGATCTCTTCCCTTCGTATCTTATCAAAAATACTTTGTTTGAGTTTCTAGGAAAGCTCTCTCTTTTTATTCGATTTTGTAACCCTCGATTTGAGCAGCAGCTTTAATCATTTCCACCAGCGAGTCTGTGGTCTCCTGACCCGTGGGTATTATTTGGGCAGCGGGAAGTCTGAAGCCGGTCCAGAAACTGTACCCCGAGGGACGAAGTTCGTAGCAGAAGGAGTACTTAACATTTAGAGCCCCGTAAACCCAATCCATACTGGAACCAGCTGCCGGATAGATGGCATCGTAGACATTTCCGCCCGTATACCGGGTTCCGTAACGCCGTTTCATGGCACCCACGGCTGCGTTGAAGATTATTTCCAGATCCTTGTGATTTTCTGGCAGTGTGGACGTGTGTCCATAGGGATATAGCAACAACTGAGAGAAGGAGTGCAGCGAGAGGTACATGAACATGGGTTCCGGGAGGGATCTTAGGTACTGGGATAGCGACTCCACCTCGGGCTCGGAAAAGGCCTTGGGTCCGGCATAGGACTCCGAGCAGGGATCAGAACTAGCACCCACCTCGCGCCAGTGGAAGTCCCAATTGCGATTTGGATCAGTTCCAACACAGTTTTTATCCTGCGGACTTCGGGTCTTGCGCCACATGCGATTCTATTAGAAGATAATAGGGCTTAGTTTTAGATATAATACTAATATTAAAATTTTAAAAAATCCTTAAATCCCTAAAAGGATATTAAAAGACTTCATAACTATATTAACTACACACAACAAAAAGCATGTTCCCGTAACATTGGTAAGGCCATGTACATTTCAGGTCATGCCAAACCCATATCGTTTTTACATGAAATACACAGAAAATTAGAGAAAATTATACAAAGTTTAAGGTGCCGTTTTTATGTAAAAACTGTTGAAAACTAAAAATGAAAACGTTTAAAAAATGCAAAGTAAAATAAAATTTGAATGAAGCGTTTTACTTTTTAAAATGTTTCACCCCCTATTTTGCACCTAAAACTTTGGATAATGTTCTCTGTGTACTCTTTTCGACCTGGTCAAATTTACCCGGCCCCATATCAAATTAAAATGGATCTTAAATAATGTAAAATCGATGTACCTTTCATATCGATTTCTTTGGGTGTATAAATATTGCTTCTATAAATTCATTATCTATCCCCTAACCAATTTACAAACTTACCGTTTTGTGGGTGTAGCAATATAATACTAATATTAAAATTTAAAAATCCTTAAATCCCTAAAAGGACTATCAAAGACCTCATAACTATAAAAAACTAAATATAATGTTCATATAAATTCATTACACAGGCCAACAGTGTTTTTGGTGCAGCCCTATGGGCATTAAATTGTGTTAATATAGACGGATATAAGCATATCTGCATACTTAGTTTTCGAGTTTAACGGGTGGTATTTGTGCAATCGCGGTTTAAAAAAAGTAGCAACATTTTATATTTTCATTTAAGATATCTTCGAGGGTCTGTGCTCAGTTGTAATAAAACCTATGCCAAAAAATTGCTTAGATGCCCTTCTACATAATTGCATTTAAGGTTCCATCATTATTTGAGTTAATAAAAGCCTATGAGCCATTGAAGTAATTTGTTCACCTCTATTTACAACCAACTTGATGCGGTGAACAGGCTTAAAAAAATACAAGGAAAAATATGTGCCCTAAAATATTTTACATGCATCTAGAGGCGTCTTTTCCCGAATTTTTGAGATAAATCCCACTATTGTACTTCGAAAAATGGAATTTATAGAATTTTTTCCGTAAGAATGGGAAAAGTAACAAGTATTTTAGAGTCACTCTTACGTAACGAGTTTGTCGTGATTTTACACAGTAGGCTTTTTAAAGATAACAGTGGCGTCGCCTTAAAATTGTGGTGGGGTTTTTTTTGTAAGGCATATTAACCCCTTAAAAATATAATTTGTCTATGTTCGGCGCCTACTGCTAACCAAATTGAAAGGCACATTTTTACAAATGTGTCAGATATTTATGTAAAATGGGATTTAAAAATAGTTGTTACTTTTTAAGTTCTTACGGAAAAAATTCTATAAATTCCACCCTTCGACGTACAATGGTCTTATTTGTCTTAAAAATTCGGTGAAAGACGCCTCTAGATGCCTGTAAAATATTTTAGGGCATATATTTTTCCTTGTATTTTTTTAAGCGTGTTCACCGCATCAAGTTGGTTGGGAATAGAGGTGAACAAATTACTTCAATGGCTCATAGGCTGTGATTGACTCAAATTATGATGGAACCTTAAGTGCAATAATGTAGAAGGGCATCTAAGCAATTTTTTGGCATAGGTATTATTACAACTGAGCACAGACCCTCGAAGATATCTTAAATCAAAAAATTAAATGTTGCTATTTTTTTCAAACCGCGATTGCCCAAATACCACCCGTTAAACGCGAAAACTAAGTATGCAGATATGCTTATATACGTCTATATTAACATGTTTTAATGCCAATAGGCCTGCACCTTTTAATAAAGTCCATTTTGTTGACCTGTGTTATTTATCCCTTAACCGGACTACAAACTTACCGTTTTGTGGGTGTAGACATATCCATCTGGGTTCGCATGGGGCAGAATGTACCACACATAGGATCTGGCGAGGCTCATCATCTGCGGTTGCTGGGAGGTGAGCAGTTCGTTGGCAAAGTACGTGGCAGTGGCCGGACCGATCCACTCCCTAGCGTGCATTCCTGCCTCCAAGAAGATGGCCTGCTTACCGGCTCTGCCATCTTTGTGATTGATCTTCAGGCCCAACAGCTCACGTCCCTCGTAACTCTGACCTGCCACAAAGACACTGACGATATCCGGGTACTTGGCCACCAGATTCTGCATCCAACGATGCGTGTCATTAAGTTCGTGGTACTCCGTCCATGAGTAGTCATCACTTCGACGATTTGCGTCCGCAACGGGCTCTATATCCAGGGATAAACTGGCCTGGGCATTTGAATCGATGAGTTCCGGAGAAAGATCCAAGTCTTTGAGGAGTTTTAAGAAGGTTTCATCGTAGCTGGGTGCAACGAGGAAATCAGTGGGCCCTAGATGAAGATTGTTTAAAACCAGAGCATCCTGGTTGTTGGCCTCCAAAGTTTGAAGTCCCTTCAGTTGAGACGCCTTCGTTGGGCTCACTCTATAAACCCTGTAGTTATCGAACCTCAACCGTTCAGCCAAGCAAGAAGTAAGAATATAAGCCGACAGTAACACCAGTAGAAGCTTCATATTGGCACTAGTCCAGGGTTAGCCTTGTTGGGGCCTTTTATACCCCAACCGGGTGCAGTGAGGCATACTAATTTCCGATTGTAAAACTCAACGCCCCCAATAGATTCCATCACCAGGGCAACTCCTCCCTGCAGGCGGTGGCCCTAGATGTGGACGATATGGCTGATCGCCTGCTGGTGCTGGCTCAGTTCTACCTAAACCCCCGCGAGACTTTGGATCGTTGGAATGCCTCCGAGCTGGATCGACTGCACCGGCTGCTCTTCAGTTACTACAACGATAATGGCTACTCGGTGCGGGATATTCTGAGGCATTTGTCGCCCGATTGCGGGGAACTGGTGATCAGGGGCATTGTCTTCGGGGCGCCCGTCAACACCAGCCAAATGTTCCTGCAGCGACCAACCTCCTCGAATGTGTGCTGCATATTTAACTATCGACGGGCCAGCTATTCCCGATTTGCGTAAGTATATCTATAGATATTCGAAGTATAGCTAATCTTAAAATTTTTTAGCAACAAGCGTGCAGAGGATGATGCCGAAATGAGAGCTGTTCCTCGTGTTGTTTTTGAATCAAATTCCATTTTAAACAGCGTTCAGTTTGTTCTACAGGATACTCCAAAGGAAGATTTCACAAACACCTTTCGCAGCAATAACGCTTTTCAGGTGAGCAGGGATAAATCTAATAATTTTTAAACGTATTATTATATAGTAGTTGTCAGCTGAGATGGCTTATCTCACTGCAATGTAGCCTAATTAAACATTTTTATCTTGCGTGCTTAATATTAAACACTCATAAAATGATTCGCCCTGAATTGTAGAAATTCGCTTCCCTGCGATTAATTTCTGAAAATAAAAAAAATGTTCTACTGGTAAAGAAAATTTTCTTTAAAATAATCAAAATTTATTAAATATAATAAAATCGCCAGTAAAGCAAATTTCTAAAATTCAGGGCGAATAATTTTCAGAGTGTAGTAATTCTATATCATTATTGACTTTGCATTCCCTATCGCAAGCTCACTATTTTTCCCCAAGAGGACTATGCCACCATTCAGTCAACGACTTTGGGAGAAGTGCTCGTGGATCATAACACCATAGTGGAAATTCCCATCCAGCCTATGTTTTTTAGCTCTAGTGAAGAGATTCGCGGAGTTCCGCTGGAAAAACGACGCTGCTACTATCCTGAAGAAGGCAGTCGATTGCTAAATCAGTAAGTGGCCACCCTATGCCAGCCATCAAATCCTTGGATTCCTCCTTACAGATCGTACTACTCCCTGGACGAATGCCTCCTGGTATGCCGCATCAAGAGCATGATCGATCACTGTGGCTGCGTCTCTCCGCCCATGGTGGGCAGTTCCATTGATCTCGAATACTGCATGCTACCAGATCTTCCCTGTTTGATGAGGTGGAAGAGCATTTGGTATGGTTACAGTGATTTCGCCTACCTGGAGAACAAGGAGGAGCTGATGGCCCAGCGGCAATGCGAGCACTGCCTGCCCACCTGTAATGGAGTTAGCCTGAGCATCACCACCAATGTGGCTCCCTTGCGACGCACTTTAAATAGCACTGGGTATTTCAACGGTTTACTGTAGGTAATTTTTAGTGTTCTCTGGGATAAATAGCTAAATAAAATTATTATAATTTAGGAAGGGCTTAACCAACGAGCGACCATTGGCCATTATTAAGTTGTTCTTTAAACTGCGTTTTGCCCAAGCCACCAAGTCCCAGTTGGTAAGCACTTGGGTTGTTCTTCTGAGTAAGTAATTTTATAAATTGAAAAAATGTATAAATATATAAATTCCAATTACCAACCCCTCAGATCGTTTTGGAGGCATCCTCTCGCTGATGTACGGCTTCAGCATAGTCAGTTACATAGAAATCCTGTACTATCTCACGGGAAAAGGGTTTGTCTACATTTACAGATCACTTTCAGATAAAAAGCTAAAGCGACCCAACTATACGAACTCACTTTACTGGCACGAGCTAATGGCCAAGGGCCTAAAATAATCGCACTTCTCATTTAGTCTGAGCATAATACACTGTATATATAATTCGGTCCGTGTATGCTCACAAATAATCAACAATAAAATGAACTTATATCAAAAACCGTATATAATGCAAGCCATACAGCGCCGAATAGCGATCCAAATCTAATAATCGTCGCCTCGGGACACGACCTCTTTGCAGGTGGGTCGCAGCATGATGGTGTGCTCGTACTGAGCCGTATAGCAGCCCTTGATATCACACAGCGGCGGATAGGCCTCCACAATGCCCTTGTCGCACAGATCCTTAAGGGCCATCTGGTACTTGGTGGCACCGGCGCGGTCCAGCCAGCGCTTGCAGAAGGCCAAAGTGCCGAAGTTTTTGTTAATGGTGCCCAGAAGCTGCTTGGATGACTGCAGGCGCAACGGCACAAATGGCAGCTCAAAGTTCTTCATGTAGTGAGAGCAATCCATGTCGTCATGGACCAAACCGCGACCTGTGGAGCCGAACGTCTCGATGGCGTAGAACTCATCTTCCTCCATGCGAGTGGACTCGCCGCCCTTGACGATTGGCACCGTTTTTCCAGCGTGAATGCCTGCAAAAAAAAAGAAAAGTTAATAATGCTCATAAACTAACACACTGACTTTCAGCACAAATTATTGTTAATAAAGAATAGAATATTGAGAATGTTCAATCCCTAGTAGAGCCCTGCGTGAATCATTTAATTTTTTTTTTATCATAGTATGCCTTTAAATATCTGATTTCTTTAATTCAATTCTATGTTTTTCAAATTCATTCCGAATTGAGTGACTATCGCACTAATTATAAGTTATCAACTTGTAGATAGGAAAGCATTTTAAAAATAAATTAAATGAAATGAATAATTTTTATGAATTTTTTGAGTAAGCCAGATTTTTTGGGCCTTTTTTTGAGAACAAAAAGTGGAAATTTTTATCAAATCAATGTTAACTGCATAGTAAATAAAATTTAGGCAGATTTAATCACAAAATTATGGTTCTTTGTTCTTGAATAATTTTTATAAATTTTTTTAAATTTGGCAGAATCTGTTTTTTGCTTTCTTTTGAGAACAAAAAGTGGAACATTTGTAACAAATCAATGTTAACAGCATAGTATATAAAATTTAGGCAGATTTAATCACAAAATGATGGCCCTTTCTTATTCAAAAGAAATTGTCTTTTGAACTATTTCGGAATTCATGCCATTCATTCGTTCAATTCTATTAAACTCAGAATTGAAATTCACTCAATTCTATTAAACTCATAATTCTAACTAATTCATTCAGATAAAACAAAAAATTCAACATAATTCATTGAATCCATTCCTGCAGGGTTCTAATCCCCAGTTAATAGCTTACGGTACGGGCTGATGGAGTGTCCGTTCAAGTTGCGAATGGCCTTGATGGGATATGTCTTGCCGTCCAGCTCGATCTCGTACGACTCCATGACCTCCTGGATGGCCGCCCCAATGTCGCATAGACGCACATCGATGCCCGCCTCCTTGATGCCCGTGTTGGTGGCCTCCTTGACGGCCTGCAGCAGCTTGTCGTACTTGTTGTTGAAGGTCAGCGTGAAGGCGCAGTCAATGATCCGCCCCTTGATGTGGGTGCCAAAGTCAATCTTGCACACATCGTCGTACTGCAGCACGGTGGTGTCGCCGGCATTGGGCGTGTAGTGGGCGGCACAGTGGTTCAGGGAGCAGCCGGTGGGGAAGGCCAGCCCCGCCTCCAGGCCATTCTCGCCGATCAGCCGGCGAGCGGTGTTCTCCAGCTCCTCGCAGATCTGGATCATGGTCATGCCGGGCTTAATGTAGCGCTGCATGTACTGGCGCGTCTGCCGATGGGCCTCCGCAGCCTGGCGAAGCTCCTGGTAGATATCGGTGTTCATGCGATCCAGGGCGCGCTTCTCCTCCGACGTGAAACGATCCTTGGCCGTGCGGTCGTCCGCCAGATCCTTGGGCGTCGGGTGCTCCACGATCTCGCCCTCGGGGAAGTTGCCATCGGGATAGAGTTTGGCAATGGGAATGGTCGGCGGATCGGTCTGACCGCTCTTCTTGCCCTTGCCCTTCTTCTTGGCCGGCTGAGCGGCCGGTGCAGCCGGCTTGGCATCTCCGTTTGTGGTCAGCTCCTCGTCGCCGCCTTCTCCGTTGGCCTTTTTGGCTGCCGCCTCTGAGTGGGTGAGTGGGTGTTTTAGTGGGTGGTTGGTCGTGCAATTGCAATTGCAATTACACCGCAGTGCAATGCTCGCATGAGGTCACTCACCTTGGCGAAGCTTCTTGTTGTTCGGCTTGGGCTTCTTCTGTTTCTTGGCCTCCTCGCCAATCTCGGGCATGGCCGCCTCCACATTCAGTGCCTCCTCGGTTGCGGACATTGCGGAGTGTGTTGGCTGCTGGTTAGGCGATTAAATAAACGAAAATCTAGCGCGCACTCTTGCCTGGCGATGGCGATGCGGAGAAAAGAACAAAAACACGAGGTTGGCCAGCGACAGTGGTGGACTATCGTAACTATCGCTTGTATATATAGTTATTTCTTGGAGACCTTGCTGTAATTTTTTTTAATTGCCTATGGATTGCTTGTTAATATATCCGCTTAGCTGATAATAAGTCGTTTATCTGGGCTTAATATTAAGAATTAAATCTGCGAGGCATTTTCTGGCTTGCTCTGGTTTTGAATTTAGAAAAGTTCTAAAGATCAATATTACTAAACAATTAAACATTTGTTCTTACTTTTTCAAATGTATGAGTTGTTTATTAAAAAGTAATAGCCACCCTAGAAAATATTAATAAAATATTTTGTGAGTGCTTTTTAATCTATTCTATATTGAAACGGCGGAATTTATTAATTTAAAATGTAATGTTATACATTAGTAAAGCAATTTAAAATATTTTAGTTTATTAACATAATTTTTTAAGCCGATATTTTAGCAAGACAGTAATCCGATATTTGGTGTCATCTCCATCCAATCTGGTTCGTGCCGAAACCAGTGTTGTAAAACGCGAACAAAGTGCAACTGCAGCCCTGGTTGATTTTGTTTATAGTCGCTGCCATCCAAAATTCCTCTCAAATGGACGAAATCCTGTTTCCCACGCAGCAGAAGAGCAGCTCCCTGAGCGACAGCGACGATGTCGACCTGAAGTTCTTCCAAACGGGCATTGGCGAAAGGAAGGACAGCGAAACCTCGGATCCGGGAAACGACGCGGATCGCGATGGCAAAGACGTGGATGGGGACAACAAGAACACGGACGGAGACGGCGACTCCGGCGAACCGGCGCACAAGAAGCTCAAGACGAAGAAGGAACTGGAGGAGGAGGAGCGGGAGCGAATGCAGTGAGTTTGGCTAATAGGTTTCTCCTTAGCAAATCCTCTTAAATAAACCCCTATTCCCCTCCAGAGTTCTCGTTTCCAACTTCACGGAGGAGCAGCTCGATCGCTACGAGATGTATCGCCGCTCCGCTTTTCCCAAGGCGGCCGTCAAGCGTCTGATGCAGACCATCACCGGCTGTTCCGTGTCCCAGAATGTGGTGATCGCCATGTCCGGCATTGCCAAGGTTTTCGTGGGCGAGGTGGTGGAGGAGGCCCTCGACGTGATGGAGGCCCAAGGGGAGTCCGGTGCCCTGCAACCCAAGTTCATCCGCGAGGCAGTGCGCCGGCTGAGGACCAAGGATCGAATGCCCATCGGCCGCTATCAGCAGCCCTATTTCAGACTGAACTAGCGAGTCATGAATTCTATGTAGATTGTAAGACTTTTAGTCAATATAAAAAATATGTACACTAGGGCGGTCCCAAAAATGAAATTCTATTCTCACCCCTTCACATGGTATATAAAAGTAAGCAAAAAATGTATGTAAAAACAAAAAAAATTTTTATACCTTTACTAAAAGAAAGTTACATATAATTTTTAAATATTCTTCATTCATCGCTAAGCATTTACTGATTTATATCCAGTTGGTATTCCATAAGCCTTTTTTCGTTTGAATAGTTAAAACATGGATTTACAAATAATAATCATAATTTTAACATTATAGTAAATCCTGTTCCTAGCTGCTCAAAACGGAACCTTTACCAAAAACTTTCTCATACTTAATTTATTTTTCAAACTGCCAGTAAAATTAATTTTTCAAATTATTCCCATGCGTAGTTATACATTTCTAATCAAGAATTAACCAAGGCTTTTTAAAGTAATTTCCCAGGGACAATAAATACACTTATATTTTTTTTGTAAGGAAAATTTATTTTTCTTAAATGTTTTGTTGACAGGTCCGTATGGCGTTAAACCTTTTCCTACATCAATTTTCATGTAGCTTATTTATCGTTCAATGTTATTTAATTAATCCAGTCATTATTAAGTAGATATTATGTAGTTATCATCCCATTTGTTGTACAGTAGAATACGCATCCGTTTACAAAAGCATCTTTATTGAGTGGGATCGCTAAGTGAATGTGTTCCGAAGTTACTCCAATCGCCGGGCCTCGGCCTGCATGGTCTGTAGTACGATGTGCGGCACCAAATGCGTGGAGGCGTAGTTCAGGGGCACGGTGGCCAGTGGCGCCGAGCCGTCGGATGGGAAGTTCAGCTCCTGGGCCATCGGCATGTCCCTATCGATGACGTCCTGGGCGATCAAGGTCTTGGTCTCCTCGTACTCCATTCCCGCCTCTGGCTTGGCGCCCATCAGGAGCTTTCCACGCTGCACGCCCATATACTGGGTGGCCTTGGCATTCAGGGGCAGCTGGCCACAGGTGTCGGCATGCACCTTGCGATGGGCCTGCAAGTTGGAGATGCAAGTGAAGCGCTTGCCGCAGTTATTGCACAGGAATCGCTTGATGCCCGTGTGCACGGTCATGTGGGTGAGCAGGCTCTCCCTGTACGGATACTCCTTGGGGCACAGGTGGCACTTGTACGGCTTGTAGTCCGTGTGCCGCGTCTTCAAATGCGACTTGTACTGCGCCTTCACCTTGAATGTCTTGCCGCACTTGTCGCACTGGTACGGTGTGTCTGCCTTGTGAAGGAGCATGTGCGTCTTGAGAATGCTGCGGGATGAAAGATAAATCGTAAATAAAAGTTTGCAAAACATTAGGTACTAAATACGTGGCTAATCACAGCTTGGAACAAGAAAATAAGCTATATACCCTTGCAGATCATTCCTATTAATTTCCAAATCGCAAAAATGTTAAATTTCCCATTATTTTTATGGTATTTTTTCTGATCTTCCTATGGCAGCTGTATAAAAAAATTGTCAGATTTTTGTTAAATTTAATTCAAAATTCGGAAATATTAAAAAAAATCATATCCTAGAGTAGGAGAGAATACACTAAAAACCAAAGAAGCTATAATTTATTTTCTATTATTTTTCCATTAACTTTTCCGATTTTTTAAAAATTTTATCCGAAATTCAGAAACATATGGGCACTTCCAAAAAAAAGTCCACCAAGCCAAAAACCTTGAAACTTGAAGAAAACATATTTCCACATGATTTTGCCCCGATATTAGTTTCTAATTAGTTGGATACTGAGCTTAACTACAAATTTGGGGTATAGTTTGATTATTTTTATGACAAACCCCACCAATATACGCAAAAATCAGTTTTTGGCTATTTTTTTGTTATTTTTTGGACCTGTCTTCTGTTGTAAATTTATCCTATAGGAATGCTAATATGTGACATTTTTCTGTACTGAATGCTTCATTCACATGCTAAACTATTAAGTTAAAAGCAAAACATCCAGCAATTGAGAGATAGAGGTAAAGAAATCCGCTTTACAAAACAGTCGGAAAAAATGTCCCGAGCGACATGTCCCGAGCGAATGTGGTTGAAACTGCATAAAAAAAACGGCAAAGAATTTTTGAGTAAAACCAAAACCATTTCATAGCGACATGTTTGAACGACATTCTAAAAAAATCGCATTCAAATATTCCATCAGAATTAGCTAATTTCTGGTGTTGTATGAACTTCCCCGAAATCCACTTCTATTTTTGTCCCGAGCGAATACGGCAGTTTTTTACCGATATCTTAAAAACTAAAAGTGGTACAAAATTAAGATTTTTACCAAAAATAGAGCTTGGGAAGAGTGAAAAGAAAAGCCCATAATTAAAATTAAAATCCATTGTTTTACAATTTTTTTTCAACTTTAAAAGTGTGCAAATGTCCCGAGCGACATTTTGGAAGTGCCCATATAAAAAAAATTGTTTACAAAAGTAGAAGGTAATATTTCAAAAAACACCGAAGCTAGAATTTGTTTTCCATTACTTTTCCGATTATTCCTATGGTAGCTATAGGATATAGTTGTCCGATCCAGCTGGTTCCGACTTATATACTACCTGCAATAGAAAGAAGACTTTTGGGAAAGTTTCAGCCCGTTAGCTTCAAAACTGAGAGACTAGTTTGCGTAGAAACGGACAGACAAACGGACGGACAAACGGACAGACATACGGACATGGCTAGATCGACTTGTCTAGTGATACTGATCAAGAATATATATACTTTATAGGGTCGGAAACGTCTCCTTCACTGCGTTGCAAACTTCTGACAGAAATCAGGGGTATAAAAACGTAATGCTAACGTTGATAGCTACCGGAAATAAGTATATATACCAATAACATCTTACCCAGCGGTGGACAAATGCTTGCCGCAAACACTGCAGCCGTAGAGCGGCAGGCGGCCGCAGTCGGAGCGCACGTGATCGGAGAGCGAGGTGCGCCCGGTGAACTTCTTGCCGCACTTGTCGCAGATGAGGTTGCGCTGCTGGCTGCGCGGCTCCTTCTTCGAGTGGAAGTTGCGCTCGTGGTTCTTGAGGCTGTCGTGGCCGGTCATGTACTTGTCGCACTTCTCGCAGTAGAGCAGCTCCTTGTGCTGGGCCCGGGCGTGCTCGGTGGCCTGCTCCTTGGTGGCAAAGAAGAGGTTGCAGTAGCAGGGGCACTTGAACGTCAGCTTGCCGTCCTCGCCGTGCACCTTCATGTGGGTGACCAGGCGCTTCTCCACCAGATAGATCTTGCTGCAAATGGGGCACTTGAAGACCTCCTCGTCCAGCTTGGCATGCACATCGACGTCCTTGAAGATCTCCTTCATCTCCGCCTCGTTCAACTTGTGATCATCGCGCAAATGCTTCTCGTAGGGCTTGCGAATGTGGTAGATCTTGACGCAGTGCGGACACTTCCACGACTTCTCCATCTTGTTGATCATCTTGAGGCGCTCCTTAAGCTCCTTTTTGCTGATCTTAGCTACGCGTTTTGGGGTACCCGAGGAGTCTTCAGGCGAGGGCGATCTGGGTTGATTGCGCTTGCGATACTTTCGCTTGATCACCGGTATCTTCTCCTTGGGCGGCCTGCCTCGTTTGCGTTTCTCCCCGGTGTGTTGCTCCTTGTTATGGCCCCTGAGGGCCAGGACATCTTCCTCGGCCACCTCCACCAGCGGCACGGCCGCAATCTCGTCTAGGATACCAGCGCCCTGCTCCACTTTCAAACTCTCAAAGGGCTTCAGGCCATCGCCCTCGTTGAGCAGCACATCCAGCAGCTTGTCCTTCTCGTTGCTAAAGATATCCGTGCTCTCGGTCTTCACATACATGCTGGCATCCTGATACTCGAAATCCTCCTCGTCAAAGGCCTCCACCTTGACCATGGCCGGCGGCGGCAGCTGGAATCCTGAGGCATCGGCATCGTCCTCGCTGTTGTTCGGCTCAAAGTCGGGACACTCGTCGCCCGAGTCCGAGTTCTGGCTCTCCTGCTTTAGCTTCGTCTTCAGCCGGCTGGCCAGAGGAATGTCATCGTCGCTGTCCGACTCCTCGGAGGTGGTATCATCATCATCGTCATCATCATCGGAGTCCCTCTTCCTGCCCTTCTTGCGGAAGGCCTTTCGTTTCTTCTTCACCTCCGACTTGCCCGGCTCATCGTACTCCGGCTGGCCGCAGGTGTCCGGGCGACTGCGTCGGTGCTTGGTGAGATTGGAGGCGCTGGAGAAGCGGGTGTAGCAGCACTTGCACTCCATGGGTCGCAATTCCTCCTGGAAAAATAGTTTAATATACAAACTTGGCTGCTGATTTCACTAGACTCACCTTGGACATCTTCTCCTCGCCGCACTTGGTCCTGCAGTGGCGTCTGTAGGCCTCCTGGTACTTGTACTCCGCCCCGCACTTGTCGCAAACAAAGGGCTTGCGCTCCTGGCCAGCCGCCGCACCGGTGACTCCGTGCTCGTCCTTGGCGTGCTGGGTCAGCTCCTCCTCGTGGCAGAAACGAGCATCGCAGTGGCGGCACTCGAAGCCGCCCGGCGGCTGGTGCTTCTTCACGTGCTTCACATAGCCGGCCAGGGAGACCAGCGCCTTGTTGCACACCGGGCAGTGCAGCTTGGGCACTCCGTCGGTGGTGATCTCCACCAGGAGCTTGGTGGCCGCAGCCGCCGCACTGCTGCTGGGAGCCATCGACTCGGTTTCTGTACGAAGGGCGAATAAAAATCGGGGGGAGGCGGATGTAAACAAATGCAAATTTTCGGTTGGTTTGGGTCTGTATGCGCCTACCAGGGCTGGAACGCCGTTTGAGACTTGGCTTAAATGCACTGTTCGCGATATTTTTATGGCCTAATGATTTGTCCTATTTCTGTCAGCAATAAGGTGCAATACCTTAGGGCTTACATTTTGTACAATAAAATGATTGAACTAAATCAGTTCTAGTGACTGGTATTAGTAGCCTGTTTATATATCGTTTTAAAATGTAATTGTTATTAATTGGCTAACTATCGGTTTAAAGTTTTAGTCATTTGTTTTAATTTTTGTATTTTTTTTTTTAAAGTATTTAAATTTTCATTTTTAAATTTGTTTTTTATATTAAAGCAGTTTTATGCCAAACCCTGGGAAGTTTCAAGGAAACTCCGACAGCTACATGCATTTTCTATACAAATAATGTTTTTATATATTTAATTAATTGTATTATTTTGTATGCATAGTAAAATTTGCCGGTAAAGTTAAGTACATACAAATGTGAATGAAAAGCTCTCGCCAAAACCTAATAAACCGGTTATCATCGGTTATCATTGTAAACCCTTTATTCAAGGAATAGTTATTTGTTATTTATTTTTTTTTTTTTTGTATTAAGTTACTCTTAACCTCGAGCAGCTGAGAGATTTATTTGGCCTCCTCGTCTAAAAACGGGTTAACTTATTTGTTTTTAAAAGTATCTTTTTCTTTAACTATCGGTTGAAAGCCCTTTGTTCGATATTCCCCTATCCGGTTCTCGATTTGTTCTTGCCACCAACACCAAAAGCAACAAAAACAACAACAACCGATTAGCGACGCTGTGCTGCAGCCCTGGTAGCATTGCGTTCGTCTCGTTCGTGGGCGGGGGAGGCGGGGCAGGTAGGCAGGCAGCAGGAGGACAGCGACTTGAAGTGCGCGCATCACGCAGAAACAGAAATGCTCCTAGTTGGCTGCATCGGCTGTACCCCGAAATGGGGCTCCACCTTAGCCCCCGATATCGACTACATAGTTACACCTATGTACAAGCATATGTACATCCATACACCTACCCATATCGGTTCGTCCGGCGCTTCCTTGGGATTGGGTGTTCTCTTCTCTCTCCGCAGCGACTTTACCGATTCTCAGACACCGCTGCTGGGGTCAGACAAATACAAATGTCTCGCTAATGATGGCTTCGCTCGATTCAGATTCTGAATCGGATTTTTTGACTTCGATTTGCGGTCCACTCTGTTTTGCGCCTATTGCAGCCTGGCTGCATTTTCACTCACACTTATATTCGGCTATTATTGTTTGTTGTGGTGAGCACTGCGAAAAATATTAACAACTCTTAAGTACACTTTAAAAAATGAAAAAACGCCATTGGGCTGCTGGCGAGTAAATTATTTTTCTTTGTGCAGCTCGAGGGTGGAAATCAGCCCTGGTCGCTGCGCTCACTTTGCCAGCGGAACTAGTTCGCGGGCAGCGATTGTTGCGAACTGGTTCCGCATGGCTCTTCTCGTTTATTTTACGGCTCTTTGCTTTTGAACTCGAGGCGGCATTTCCCCTCCGCGGTTCGAGTCACGGCTTTTTGCATTATTTAAAAATTTTTTTAACACAATTTATTTCTTTAAGGTAATTTATATTCAAAAGCAGTTTTACCTTTAAGGGCCGGTTTCTCGAGTGCCGGCTAACATTTCTCGAACAGATAAAGTCCCTGCTAAGGCATTTTGGCTTTCTCGAGCATAAATGTGAGAGCTAACTTTGACAGGGACTCGGAGTCCCTGTTAAGCGTTTTCGGCTCGATAGAATGACAGCTATTTTCCCAAAGCCAACTATGAAGAAGAAACGAAATCACAGCTGACTTTTCCTTTAAATTGTACCCAAACAGCTGATGAAATAATCGAAGCAAGCCATTATTTGCGCTTCACAGCACAATTCTGTGCGTTAACAGCACTCTGTAATTGTTTCTCGTTCAGATAAATTAAAGTAGTCGAGAAAGCGGATTTGCTTTTACGAACAGTTTATCTGGTATTTAAGTTTTTCGAACAGATAGCTATCAGGGACTTTGACAGGGACTCGAGAAACCGGCCCTAAGCCTCTTAATTTAATACATTTTTCTTTGACTGCACAACGAGAGCGAGAGGTCCCACGGCCAGGGTTGCAATGCACACTAATTGGCGCGCAATTTAAAACAGAAATGCAATGTGTTTTCTTAAAACCAAAATAAGTTGTTTTGAGTCGTAAGAATTTTAGAAGAATTTTCTGTAAAATATATAAACAAAATAAACCAAAATTTAAATATTCTTAAGTAATATTTAAAATATAAAAAAATATACAAAAAAATATACAATATAGCCGATACTATCGGCTAATATATCGGTGGCAAAGCGATTGCTGGAATACTATTAAAAAAAGGCGTTTTGCGGTGTTCACTGTACCTCCGCTAAAAATGATCGAATTTCTATTTTGTTTTTACATTTCGCTTAAGAATAAGAAAAACCCGCCCCCTTTGAAGCCCTTTTTTTAATTTTTTATTTTTAAGAATTTTTTTGATAGTCCAAATTCGAAAATGCGTTTTTCACCTAAAAAATTTGACTTTCGGCTTAAAAATAAAATGTTTAAAGTTTAAAAATAAAAAAAAAACGCTTCATAGGAGCGGGTTTTTTTTATGCAGAAAAATAAGCGACAAATTTGAAAACGATCGGTTGAGCCGTTTAGAAAACGTGGTTTTGAGAAAAACGCGTTTAAATATGCACTTACGTCTTTCTCCGATTGATTTAAAACTTTTTTGTATACTCTTAAAATGTTAGTCTACAAGAAAAAAAATTTTAAAAAAAATCGAAATTTTTTTTTGCAAGACCCTACTCTCCCCTTAAAACATTGTGTGGACTAGTCCATAATATACAAACTATTAAAAATGCCCCAAAAAGTGTTATTACGAAATTGGTTGTTCTGTCGAGGAAATAGGTAAATGAAAAAGCTATAACCATGTAACATTTTCGAATGTACCTACATCGATCTTTTACATTGCTGAAATCTAGCCAAGGAATAATAAAAAACACTTTTCTCTCTCAATAAATGTTACACGTTTTAAAATTTCAGAAAATTGTTTACCCTTCGGTAACGAATAAATCTGAAACGAAAACATTGGCAATCAAAACGGAGACTTTACCTTCGTGTCCTAATTGGAATTATCTTTACCGTGCTGAACTCTGGCTGTGCCCAATTTGGACCTTTGCCTGCCGCTTGCTATTGATACCCGAATCCCCATTCCAATGCCCGATTGGCCCATCTAAGCCCTCGAAGGCCACGAGTACTCTATTTTGATTTGGGGGCGATTACATTCAGGAAATTTACACTCATGCAGTTTATTGGGCTCGAAGCTGATTACAATTCTGTGCCGGCAATTTAACCCCAAGCCCACGAATATCCAAAGGTGACGTCAATGTCGGTGTTAAGCTGTGTGGGTGTGTGTGTGTGTTTGTACTTCTGTGTGCGTGTGTGCTGGAAACGTTGTTTATTTGCATACATATGGGGGCAAACAAATGCAGAAGGTCAATGCTGAAAGAGTTGCAGAAAGAAGATGCACAGTTTGATAACCACCATGTAAAACAATAAAATATATAGTATGTGTGTATTTTGATTTTCAACAAGCAAAAGGGGGAAGGGGCCAAAAATCCCAGCAAAATCAACACCAAAGTTGCAGCAACAACTTAATCAATTCTGCTGCTAGTTTGAAACTCTCGACTAGTCCTGCATGTCCTGCCATCCTCGCCGCTTATTGTGTTTGTTTATTATGCAAATTTGCATTAATTTTTCGTAAGCCGCACACGTGAGGCAGCAACAGCAACTGTTGCTGCCGAGGTTTTTGGGCTTTCAAATTGCTTTCGAGCGCAAATCGTCGTCAAATTTCATTAAAAATGCATATATGTAGAGTAGGTACACACAGTGCCCCCTCTTGACCCCCCTTTCGGTCTATGTCTCTCTTAGCTGCCAGCCATGTCCTCCCTTGAGATTAGCCAGCAAGGACATTTTGCAATCTTTTGTTTTATAAATAGCCCCCTCTTCGATAGACAATTAAAAATGTAACTTGCTTTCGGCATCAACGGAGGCTATCAATAGATGGTTGTAATCCCCAGAGAAAGAACCTCTTAAAGCTGCCCTAATACTTTTTCCCTTCAGGTGGGGATTTTTCTTCAATTCAGAGGCCGAGTCACCACATACCCTTCTGCCACATAAGTTAGCCTTAAGAAAAGTTTTCCATCCCAAGCACTTTGTGCAAATTGTTAACGTTGCTGCTGCGTCCTTCTACGCACACGGGCAACAGCAACAACATCAGCAACAGCAACAGCAACAGCAACAGCCTCGGCGACAACAACAGCGGCTAGAATGCGGCAACAAAGGCTTCAGGTTATTGCATGCATTTTAATTAGTAGACAAGCCAAGTGGGTTGCCACTATATATACAGCACATACATATATATAGTGCTATAGAGCCCCGACATAGGCATTTCCCAGTATATTTGTATGTTTGGTCGTATGCAGGTCTCAGAAGAAGCTGAATTGCCTTTGCATGGGTAAGCCGATGAGTTCCGGTGAGATCGTGATAACAATTTCAAATTCTGGCAACAAAGCAATGAGAAAGGGATTCTAGCAATTCAACAGAAACTTTCATTCAAAAAGAGGTGAAACAAATCCGGATTGAACTTCAAGTTCCGAGATCCAACAGGAGGGAAAGACTTCAAGGAAAATTTTAATGACAAGGATATTCCGAAGATAATTTGATTAAAGTCTGGTAAGGGCCCTATTGCATTTAGTTTACGAAAAACAATTAATAAAAGGATGAAAAATAATTAAAATTAGACGAAATATTTTATTAATGTTAAAATAACATAAAATTTAGTTATAATTAATTGGTTTCTTTTAATTGTTTGCAACTAACATAGAAAGTAGGCTAACAAAAATAGATAAAATAAGAAAAACTTGTGTTTACATAAAGGCTCAAATAGTATTAATATTTGCCAAATTTATCTAACGAAACCCAAATGATATATGGTTTTGGGAAAGCCCCTGTCAATTTGTAAAAGCGAACTATTCACGCGGCATAAAGGGTACGGGCCGGGAAAAAAACATCGAACTGCGACTAGATGGCATAGATACTTTTTCGGCGATAAAAGGACGTGTGCATAAACAAATCTCGGCTCATCAGCGTCACAAACAAGACAATGATATATGGATCTGGGTAAACCTTTGTCAATTTATATAAGCAAGCGGTTCTGGTGGCCCACATCCCAGAGTCCTTTCGCTAGGATAGGACAGTCCGCAGAGCTGTAAGTGCGAGCTTCAACGGCGGGCTGCCTCTCAATCTATCATTCTGCCCTCGCTGGTGGCCCTGCACCACCCACTGGCCACCCATTACCACCCACAACCACCCGTCCACCGCCATCACGTTCTGTGCTAGTTTCTTGTATTTATTTTTAAATTGTCTCTCACACACACGAGCCCGCACAAATACACACCAGTGCACACAGGAGCAGGGACATCGACTCACACACACAACCAAATACATGTCCTGCACTCACATCTTCCGTACAGGAGGACAACTCATGTTTGTATTGGTTCGGTGAGCGTTCCTTTCCCGTCTCTCCTTCGATTTCTCGCAGTGTGTGAGTTTGTCTACATAAACGCGAAAAAAGCAAATACCACTCGCCAAGCTCAAGTTCTCAAGTTGCGACTAAATGCTACCCCCTGTTAAGGAATCTGAAAAATCTCCTTTCATCAATAATAACTTTTTTGTTTATATTAATACTTTTAATTTATTTTTAGGACATTTACTTTATTTCTATTCTTTATAACTCAATGACTAAAACTGGTATTTAAATTTAGTGGTTAATAAATAACGTTCGAACAAGCTTTAACAGTAAAAAGTACTTTAAAATATATGAGTATCTTATCAATTTCTTGAACATTTTTATTTTCCTTAAGAAAATATACTTCGACATTTTGCAAATTTTTTTTTAGATTTTTTTCAATGATTTTTTAAAACTTACAAGTCAAGGGATCAACATTTTAATTTCCTTTGATT